AATGTGTTAAGAGGGATGGATTTACTCTTGATTGTCTTGCGAGGATGCTTTTAATTCCGATCTTTTAAATAGGGCTTTTATTCTTCTTCCTCTTCAAGGGCTACTTTTATTTATAATAATGAAAGAGGGCTATCGGTGATGTATCGTGCTCCCGGGTCGATGGAGGATGTTAGGATGGATTTACTCTTGATTCTCTTGCGGGGATGCTTTTACTTCCGATCTTTTAAATGGGGTTTTTATTCTTCTTCCTCTTCAAGGGCTACTTTTATTTCTAATAATGTAAGAGGGCTATCGATGACGTATCGTGCTCCCGTCTCGGTGGTGGATGTTAGCGGAAGACCGGCCACGTGGGGCCATTCGAAACAACTTTTGACACTTGCATGACCGAGACGAATCGCCTTTATGGTTGCGGCTCCCCGCATGCGGCGTTTTCGGGGGTGCCCGACAATGAGATTTGCTCCGAACGCTCCGAAAGGCCTCTTCCCTCTGCTCGTTAAAAGAGGCTTCCTCGAGGGAAGGGAAATCGACGAGTAGCTCTTTCTTAAGGTGAAGTGAAACACGTCGAGGAACTTGATCGACGTCGACGAAGAAGATTTTTCTAAATGCCCACGTTGCCGACGTTCGTTTTTATATTGACAGCTGGGTAGAATTATATTGGGTATTGTACCAAATGGCATACTCCACCTGTCGTTTTCCTACAATAATTACAAAGAAATCGAAGTAAAACTCCAGAAATCCTCCGGATTCATGCTTTTACTCATTTGGGCTGAGTTAAAAAATTAAAGAAATAAATACAAATTTTGAGTGTGTCAGGACAATTCTTAGATGATCAGGAGTGACGTGTCAAAGTTTCGGACAGTTTGGTCTAATACCTTTAAAAAAAAGTGTTGTACTCGAATCGACTGATTTGAAGGGGGTTTCACTTCACCTTAAATCTTATCACACCCCGGGCAAATGTCAAGATATCGAGGAACAATGCGAACAAGCGATACAATTCATCGTATGTCGAGGGACTTTTGCGTACACTTTGCGTATTTCCGGAAACAATTGTACGGAATATTTCCGGATGTTTGGCTCTCCGGAATTTGACAGCACACGCTGGCCACGTGGCGATGGCGTATCGTCATCCCACCATGGAAACTCATGGGTTTGTAACGCGACACGCGACCAGGGCCATCCCCAGGGCACGCGTTAGACTTTTCACCCTACCCCATCCCCGGGGGTGTGTTTGACCATTAGGATATGTTTGCTCGAGTTTCAGAGTCGATCTCTAAACTATTTCTCCTATCTGAGCGAGTGAGGAGGTCGGATCGTACCTTCGTTCTTATCTAACAAGGAAGGTATCCCGGGTTGATCTCTCCGATTTAATTTCTTTTATAATATGTTATAATAGACTAAAAACTAAGCGACACGTATTTTTTTTTATCTGCCATTAAACACTTTAAGGGGGTGAAACCACCATCCAAAGTAAGGCATGTCAAGGGGCGATTTGGCAAGAACATAATATTTTTTAACCAATCCACTTGGAAACGCTTTCTCATAGCGACAAATGAAAAATATCATTTCCTCAATTAAACAAAAAAAAATTAAGGGGCGAGCCACCCCTAAATATGATTACATTTATGAAAAAAATGATCAAATTCAAGTATAAAAATCTGGAAAAAATATATGTTGTGCATGATCACGAAGGAAATACGACGTGTTTATGGATTTTCCTGAAAAAGAAATAATAGCCGGGGCAAGTACCCCCGAACGCCCACCACTGTGAGGGGTGGCTCACCCCTTAAGTTTTTTTTTGTTTAATTGAGAAAATTATATTTTTCATTTCTCGTTACGAGCAAGCTTTTCCAGGTGGATTGGTTAAAAAATATTATGCTCTTGCCAAATCGCCCCTTGACATGCCTTACTTTGGATGGTGGTTTCACCCCCTTAAAGTGTTTAATGGCAGATGAAAAAAAAAATACGTGTCGCTTAGTTTTTAGTATACTATAACATATTATAGAAGAAATGAATTCGGAGAGATTTTTTGAGGCATCCCTGATCGTCCTTACCTCATTAGGTAATCGTAGCCAAATGGCATGGCCACTTCCTCGGGGTTTACCTTTATTTCCTCTTGTTTTATTATTTTATTTCCATTCGGGTACCGAGATGCGAGAATTTTTTCCCGGTACCCCAGATCGTCCTCCTTCGGGATTACGATCTCATGTGGTGCAGGTGACACGGGTCACATGACAAAATAAAGCTCGCACCCTCGCCCTCGTCCACCGTGGCACGACTCACTTGGCACACGAGTTCGTCCATAATGGCCCTCGTCCGCTCCCCGCCGCTTAATTTAATCCAACACAATATGTCCGCGGTCCCGGGTAAAGGGGTGGCTTTTTAAAACTGTACCGATTTCAATTCACCGTGAAACCTCATCCCATTACGGACCGACGTGGATTGGATCGGACAGGTTTCCAGGCGTCCCCAACGCGTCCGGAGAGAAGAGTACCGATGCGATGTCTTCCCTAAAAAAATCCCCCATAACGACTGACAATCTGAAATCCTGAAAAGTCCTGATCAAAGCAGGCTTAAGGGGATGTGAAAGTGGCATCCGAAAGCTCAATCGTTCATAAAACTTTTCCACGAACTAGGTGTCTCAAATTGTTTCATACTTTAAATCGCGAATATGGAGACCCTAAGGTAGGTCCTGAAACTCGGGAAATTTTATTTTTTATAAACTATTTTTAAAACATTTATAAACAAATTTGAAATGAATTGAAATTTCATGAACTGGGTGTCTCAAATTGTTTCGTACTTTAAAACGTGAATATGGATATCCTAAGGTAGATCCTGAAACTCGGGAAAAATACTTATAAACATATTTGAAAAGAATTGAAATTTCATGATTTTCAGGACCTCCCTTATAGTCTCTCTGTTCACGTTGTAAAGTTTCAAGCTATTAGATAAACCGAGTTGGGAGAAAAGTTTCATAAACCAAACCTCTTCGACGCTACTTTCACATCACCTTAAAGAACAGAAATTTTCACGGGGGTCAGGATCTTCCTCGTATCCTCCACATCCCCATATTGAATTTCGAAAGGATTCGGTGCACTCGGTCCAGGGGAATGCTTGAAAAACGACTTAGTGACGATTGGCTTTACTTTAATGTCGCCTTAATATTTTTTCACTATATTTTTTAATTATGTGAAATAATTCCAGGTCTATTCCGGAGATCGGAAGGCCCGCCGAGGAAGCGGGTCCTAATGTCCTGGGGGATTGTTAAGGAAGTTCGGCAGGATTAACAGGATTTCGGGCAACCTGCCCCCGGTACCGGACGCGCTCTTCGGGGTCCTCTTCTGGGAAGCCAACCTGACCGAGCTCGCGGTCGCGACCGGCCGATTTGCCCGAAATGTAATTAGGACATGGTGGATCGAGGTCGGGGAGATCGCCGACCCTGATCGGGTGGGTCGTAAAGGCGCCTCCTCGGGGAAGGACGCTTTGTCCTGGGAAGGCTTTATCGTTTCGTGGCTCGTTCCCTCGTAAAGATCGGACGCCCTCGATACCGACCAATTAACGGGCACGAGTGCGAAAGAAGGAGGCCTCTCCGTCGTTTCGGGGCTCCTCCTTCCTCGTCAGGTTACTTCCTTAATGGTTAAGTTCACTTAATGCTACGTTGCCTCCGCCGAGGAGCAGGCGAGGCACGAGTACTATTTCCTGGGGTGCACTGAGACCCGGTAATGGTCATTTATTGCACGTCCACAGGCTCGCCATGAGGAGGGAATTAGCCCTGGATTAATCGGAGATTAATCGGGAATTAATCGCGATTCTTTCGAGGTCTTCTTTCGTTCGATTTTTTCTTTGAGGAGATAGCGTACAGGAATCTTGCATCCATTCATGAACTCCATCCATGATTGTGAAGATATGAACTCCATCCATGATTTTGAAGATGTGAACTCCATCCATGAACGTCCATGGTGATGAAGACATGAACTCCATCCGTGAACATCTATGATGATAAAGATGTGAGCTCCATCCATGATGACGAAGACATGAATTCTATCCATGATTATGAAGATATGAACTCCATCCATGATTGTGAAGATCCGATCACCATCCATGAACATCCATGATGATAAAGACGTGAACTCCGTCCATGATAACGAGAACATGAATTCTATCCACGATTATGAAGATATGAACTCCATCCATGATTATGAAGATATGAACTCCATCCATGATTGTGAAGATATGAACTCCATCCAGGAATATCCGTGATGATTAAGACGTGAACTTCATTCATGATGACGAAGACATGAACTCTATCCATGATTATGAAGATATGAACTCCATCCATTATTGTGAAGATATGAACTCCACCCATGAACATCCATGATAATAAAGACGTGAACTCCATCCATGGTGCCGAAGACATGATTCTATCCATGATTATGAAGATATGAACTCCACCCATGATTTTGAAGATATGAACTCCATCCAGGAATATCCGTGATGATTAAGACGTGAACTTCATCCATGATGACGAAGACATGACCTCTATCCATGATTATGAAGATATGAACTCCATTCATGATTGTGAAGATATGAACTCCACCCATGATTTTTAAGATACGAACACCATCCATGAACATCCATGATGATAAAGACGTGAACTCCATCCATCATAACGAAGGCATGAACGTGTTCGAGAAATCCGGATGGAAGAGCCTCGACTTTTCTGCGCGAATTCTGGCTAGAAAATCGATAATTAATTTTTAATAGTCCACCACCAGGCCGGGGAGTTATGTTTGTCCTAGGGATCCTCCCCAGGGGTGGAAATAGGATGAATGGATTTGTTTCGCAGCTGTGTACACTGCTTAGCGCGACGGCGCCGCGACGGCGTCCATAGCTGGTCCAAGTCCCGACGCTGGTCCAGAGTTAACCCGGGGATCTTTCGACCCATCGAAACTAGTCGAAGTATCGCAAATCGCAAATCTGGAGAATCGGTTCTCGATACCTCGCTACACATGCTCGCCCTCCATAAGGGGTGGCTCGTAATTAAGGAAATCGACGTCGCGACGTCCACCCTCTTCTTGCGCCTCCACCCTCGGCGTCCTCGCCTCCCTCGAGGCGTCGTATTCCTCCCCCAGTCTTTTGTACGTTTCCGCCCTGTTCTCCAGGATCTCCTGCACGATGTCTGAAAGAAAAGTCGAACGAGTTTTCTACGTGTAGGCTCGATGGACATTTGCGTATTCGATCGATCCTCTCCCATAATTGATAATTATTAACAGTCTCGGAGGGAGGTTTAAGTGTTATTAATGTTAAGTTTACCCATGAGGATCTCCCTGCTCTCCACCATGGTGCCCATCTCCTTCTTGACCTCCTTCATCAGCCAAGGCATGAACCCTTCCTCGACGTCTGGGAAAATTCGATACTCTGAGGAATTGTTGTTTAATAAAAATTGTTATCTTGGTTGATAATCTACTAACCGGCCTTGATTTCATCCAGGAGGAAGCCGGACATCTTGAGGCCCTCCAGGACGGATGGCAGGAGTTCCGCAATGTATCCTGTGAGAAGAACCGCAGCGGCCACTCTGTCTTCCGTTTCCTGCTGGGTCTTTGCCGCCTCCTCGTGTTGCCGAAGACGTCGGTTCTTCAAGGGTGAGAAGTTTCGATCTAAGTTGTTAAAAGGGTGCCTAAGGTAAGCGTTACCTTCTCATCCCGCAGACGTCTTTCCTGTTCCTCGAGCCTCTGCTGCTCGGCCTTCTCCGCGGCTCGCAGCTCCAGGAATCTCCTCTGCTGCTCCTTCAACGCTGATAGCTCCTCCTCCTCCAGGACCTCCACCAGCGCCTGCTCTATGGTCTTCCCCACCATCACTTCAAGGATGGGCTGGACCTCGACGTCGTAGTCGAAGAGCTGCGGAAATGCACGTTGGAGTTCCCCCAGGAAGCGGAGATTAATTCTAAAGGTGTTAGGAAATTACTAACGTCCCCAGGACATATCTGGGTGCTGGCATCCTGGCCCACCTTGGCAGGACAATACCGAGGCGTCGCAGGCCTGTCCAGGAAGTAGTCCGTCTGGGTCGAGACGTCCAGCTCGATCGGCTTCTCGAAGAGCTGGAATCGTAGGTCAGTTCTTCTTGAAAGTTGTCACCAGATTACCGAAACGACCAATCTGACTTTAACTCATCCTTGTTTAGGGAACCGAGGATAACTCGTGGTACCTCCTCGAGGAACATCTCGGTCTGGATGGGCTCATGTTTCCGGCCAGGAACAGGAGGTGGAGATCCCAGCCTCATCGCCGAAGACCTCGCAGCCTGGGATTGGGCTCGTTTTCTCGCCATGTGCTTCCTTTTCGCATCTGCGTATGATCGATCAGGATCTATCTGCAAAGGAGAGACCAGTTAGAGCTCGTTCAATTTATTTAGACTTTAAGGTGATACGAAAGTAAAAAATGTATGTAGACAATGTTTGAAAAATTTGAAATTTTGGCGCCTCCACGTACACGCGGCAGAATTTAAAATAATTCGGATTATCCCGTTCCGAGATAAGTTTTACAAATGAAACTCCTTTCGTAAGGCCATGAAAGTGGCATGTGAAGGATCGCTCATGAAGCTTTTCGCTGAATTGGGTGTACCGAATGGTTTTAAATTTTATAACGTGAATATGGAGTCTATAAACGAGGTCCCGACACTCATGAAATGTCATTTCCTTCAGAAAATTTAACAAAATACCCATGAAGAAATTTATTGAAAAATTGAAGTTTCACGGGCTTTAGGACCTTCCTTGTAATCTCCACAATCGCGGTGTAAGCCTTAAAAGTAATTCGCTTACTTCGTCTTTAAGAATGAAGCTTCCGAAGGCGTGCTAATGATTTGTTCCGATTTTTTTAAAGGCTCACCAGGATCGTAGTTCCGAAGGCGTGCTAATGATTTGTTCCGATTTTTTAAAAGGCTCACCAGGATTGGAGCCGAGGCGAAGGTGCTACCGGAAAATTTAACAAAATACCCATGAAGAAATTTATTGAAGAATTGAAGTTTCACTTCAGGACCTTCCTTATAACCTCCACAGTCGCGTTCTAAGCTTTAAATGTAATTCGTTTACTTCGTCTTTAAGAATGAAGCTTCCGAAGGCGTGCTAATGATTTTTTTCGATTTTTTAAAAGGCTCACCAGGATCGGAGCCGAGGCGAAGGTGCTACCCCGGACGACCCTCCGATCGTGCATGATGTTCCCGAAAGATGGGGGCTGGTCGGAGCTGGAAAACGAGAGAACTGGTCGGTAATTCCCCGTCTAGGCGGCATAGGAAGGCATCGACAAACGTTCCGAAGGGCTTCGAAGCTTTGGGACGTTGATCCCCTCTTCGGTGCCGCGAAACGGCCTCGAAGACCGGCTACCAAAATCGGCTCTCGGGGAAGCTCTACCGCGATCGACTCGAGGGGTCGCAGAGGAAGAGAGACTTCTCACGGCATCAAAGAGGGATGTCGTTGAATGTGTTCCAATTACCGGTCAGGCGGCGTGCATGCCAAGGCACCGATCGGTTCCAACTTTTTCGGGAACCCCCGGGGTGTCCAAGGAACTCGGCTAGAAGAACAATTCCCCGGGCTTACAAGCGAGTTCCTGGAGGTACGACCTCGCGCAGTCTCCGAGGAGGCTAACCGATCCGACCCCGAGAGCGGCAACGAGCGAAACGCGGGAAAAAAAAAATACAATTGCACTTTTATATCTACATATATATAAAAAAAAATTAAGTTATACTGCAGGAACAATCGCTAATATTGAAACATTGTAGTCACAACAATTGATCTATAGAGGAATATCCCAACTCGGAATGGAATTTATGTAACATCATTATCAAAAATCAAAAATGATTTTGGAAAGGAATTGTGCGAACCCATTGTTTAATAGTTAACGTGCAAAATCTTTTGTTACGACTGCGAATTCTTTTTCTTTTGCGAGCGCGGGGGTTGCAGAAAATTGTACAGGGAGTTTTGCTCGTTGCCGATTTTTCTAATCGCTGGGTTAACAGAGTTGGGGTCGTCAAATCGATGGATCAACGGAGGATTCGTTTCAGGAGTCTGCCAGAACTCACGGCAGAGTCTCAACCGAGGACCTGGTGCCGATGGCGTCGACCAGCTTGATCCCGAAATCGGCGGTGGCCTTGAGGGCGGCCCTGCACCTGGAGACGTGGCTCTGATGACGAACTTCCGGCCTCTTCAGGGAGGCCAAAGGCTTGAACCTCGACCTGGGGACCTCGTCGCCGTTGGCGTAGGGCGCGATGCCGAGGAGAGCCGCCACTTCCGGGGGCGGCATCAAGAACTCCCCAGTCTTCACGGTCGTGACGAAGGGCTTCCTGCCGATGAAGGACCCGCCCTGGAGCCTCTCGTTCCTTCTTTCCTCCTGTATCCTGCCGAGCTTCGCGTTCAGGGCCTCGTTAAGGTCCTCCGTCGAGAAGGACACGGGCTTCGACTCGGCCCTCTCCTTGGAGAGGTTCCCCTGGCTCCTGCTGCGCTCCTTCGTCAGGGGGCTCGTCCTGTGCCCCTGCAGGCTCGCCAGGACGAGGTGCTCGTTCGACTCGCCGAGTCGACTGCGACGCACCTCCGGCTTCTCCAGGTCGTCCTTAGGACTCTGCGAGTCGTCCTGGTCGACGTGGAGCAGCGGCAGAGAGGAGTCCAGGTCCTTTCGCAGGATCGCGAAGGCCTTCCCCTTCGGGTCGAAGCTGATGCCCTCGCTCATGGCCAGGGTCGACACTCCGGCCGGCATGGTCACTTCTGGTCACCTCTTCCTCGAGGTCCTGGATCGAGGACTCGCAGCTCAACTCTTGGAGGTCACCAAGATCGTCGCCCACGCCGACTGGGATCTTTGGACCCCATCTTCGGGGAACTTCCCGATACCTCTTATTCAGTCATATCACTTGGATATGTATTTGGCGCGGTACTCTACCGAGGTTCTTTTCTCCTTTCCTTATCCTTTACTTATGTCTTTGCATGTCTTTGCAGTCTTATGTTTTATGTCTGCGGAAATTTCTTCATACTTCTTGGAGAGACTCCTAGGGGAGCGTGGACTCCTCTCTTCTTGGTCTTCCTCGTGACCCGGGGGTGCTTCCTGTCCTCGAGGTCGACGTTCACCGGCAGGCCTCTCACCGAGCACTGGACAATGTCCTGTACCTCTCCCTGTATGCCGCGGACCTGGGGTAGATATATATTTCTGATAGCCGGCAACTCAATACCACTGACCAGTGGCCATGCCGCGCATGCCTAGAAGACGAGGTCACAACCTCGGCGAGAGGTTACAACCCTTAGCAACACTTCAAGGTGAAGTACCCAATACCTGGGGGCGCGTCTTCGGGGTGTAGGATATTGCCCTTGAAGCGAGCTCCCCTCGAGCCGCGAGGAAGCGGCCGCCGCCATCTTGGAAAATCCATACTCCAGAGAAATGCTAGTTAACATTTATAATCCTTTCTTTCGGGATAAATCGCATTCAAATTACGCATTTAAGCAGGTATACCGAGTTTTCAATTTCTTACTTTTCCCTCGTAGTCCTTTAAACCGGCCCTGGGAAATTGCAGAGCGTGCTAAATTCGAATTGGGTTATACAGTCGCTACTGTTTCTGGAAAATTATCGCCAGCTCGACGGTGGAGGTCGCTGGGTGGACGGGACCTTTATGGATGCCTCCGTGTAGAAACACCTTGACGTATATTGCGGTTGCACCCGTTACACAGGTGTTAATGCAGGGGCAATTTACTGGGTGCAAGAACCTATTGGATTACTTTGCCCGAGTATTCGCGTGCTCGGAGCCGTGCGAAAGAAATTCTACGCGACTTTGGGAGGAATTACTGCTCGAGGCCTTTCGTTAAGGGGTTACACCGCTTTGACCCACCCAGAATTTACGGTTTTTCAAGAATTTTTTTTTAAGAATTAAAACGTTTTTATCCGAATTAAAGTACAGTAAGGTATTATACAACTATTAAACGGCAAAATATTCTTTTTGTATTTTTTTTATTTACCAAAATGGCGGCTTGATAGGCGATTTACCGGAGCGCTGCGAAAATCGATGATCGTGCGGTGGGCACGATAACTCAGTCCAGGTTTAAGGTAGATCAATGAACGATAAAGAATTAGTTTCTGTAGCCCAAAAGCTAGCGAAGTACGTAGCCGTTTTCAAAAGTATGGATTTTTCACAAAATGGCATCGATTTGAAGGAAAGATACGTATTTTACCCTAAATTTCGTTAATTAATGTTGCATAAAAAGCGCGAATATCAATACATTGAAAAAAACCATACGTATTTCGCTAGATAAACTTATCAGGAATAAAATAAAAAAGACTCAAGACGATTGATTGAAAATTGGCGGAGCTAGAGTGCCCACCGATTTTTAAAATGCAGTTTTAAGAAAAACGCCTTTAAAGTATAAACGCGTAAAATGAACGCGTAAAAATTTGTTTCATTTTGTGAACATTTCAAAGTGGCATAACCCCTTAAGTGGTTTCTTCTTGTGTTTAAATAAGCTTCTGTTTACAAGCGACCGCGCTAGGCTCATTAACCCTAATTTCTGTAATCCCGATGATTACCTCTCTGGTAAAAATACACGGTCTAGTTTCGCTCGCGATTGATCGGAAACACGTGGGCAATCGATTTATTGGAATATCGAGCCGTAATTGGAACACACGACTTCGTGTCCTGTATTTCTGTCGGATAAAAATCAGTCGTAGGAGGTTATTCCCTCCCGACTAAAGTGGAACGTTCCAAAGCCTCGGTGCGCCATTTTGTATTCCTGAATGCACGCTCATAAAAATGGCCCTGTTAATTTGCATACTAGATCGTTGGTTATTTCAATGCCGCGAGAAAATCCCTCCGTAATATCACATTCAACGTGTCAGGTGTATTTATACCCTGTCTATTCCGTAATTCCTCCATTTTATTTTTATCACGTGCAACTTAAGTTCGGAAGTTCTGCAAGAAGTGGCTGTAAACTTCGATAGACTTTTATCAGTGCACCGTCAAAATAGCCTGTAGATTTATCCTCCCCTCGAATGTTGCGCAATTTTATCAGAGATTATAGATAAAATTAGGCAGCACGTGTATGGAGGGTCCTGTAAATAATTACCCCCTCGAAACACCCCTTCGGTGTGGAAAAATGTAGCCAAAGACATTTATGCTTCCTCAATTGCAAAAGTATCTCAGATTGCTACCCCGTGGAAAGCTCAATTATCTTTGCCAAATGTAGCACAACATTAATTCCATTAAAATCCCAGGTGAAATTTTCATTTTCATTTTCTCTAATGTCACAGCACACTTCGTTTCGCGTATGCTCCATGTACAAGATTATCTGCTACCTCGGACCTAAGACAAACATTAAAAGCTAGGTGACAATTTGAATTTATTCCCGCTTTTCAACAATGTCAATAAGTTCCTCGATGCCTTGTGCGTTGGTCTTAATTTACTACATTGCGGAAGGAAATAAAGGGGAATATTAAATTTCGTGTAAACTGATACCAACAGCGGCGGGTTTCGGTACTTCTTTTGAATGTGAAGAATGGCCCTGGGACTTTTCACGAAAGTATAGGTCTCCGATTTTTCCGGGCCCCCGGATGGGATATTGTAGGGCCTCATTCCTTGGTTGCACATTTGACACTGCTGGCTCGTCTTCGTTGCCATTTTTTTTATATATCTCGGGACACTTTTAGATTCGCGGACGCGGGATAAAGACGTAAAGAATTCCCGAAACGACGCGGAGGACTTCGATCGAAGGAAGGGAACGCGAAAGGGGACCGGCCTTATCGTGGACGTAACCCAGATATCAGGACAAAGGTAGTCACGGATCTCGGCAAACCGACGCCCAGAGGTTGCTATAGAAACTAAACAAGACGTGCGGCACGACATATCGATATTTCTTCATCGATAACGCATGTAAATGGGAGAACGCGAAAGAAGGATGCACGCGGTGCATCTATGCAAGGTATTCCTTTGTTGCATCATATAAGGGAAAATAAACGACCCTAGGCGCCGAGAAATCAGATTTATTTCGTGATATTAGTCGCAGGGCTCATTTTGAACGTCTAAACGAAAGATTGTCCCTGGTTTGAATAGGTGTCGGAGAATCCACGGTGTCGGTATTGTAGAATTTCTCGGTACCTACGCAGACTTGGCGCCGAGGGATGCCGGCCTCGAGTCCCTAACCTCAAACTCGGAGAGGTGTATCAGAGATCTCTGGTTTCAAATATAGAACGAAGGATGAAGCCCCATCTCTGATTCAAACTGATTACTTGAACCATCGTTTCAGGAATGGGACAGTGATGTGGCGCCATCTGCCAGTTATACAGAGTACTTAATGCATCGCACCGTAGCCCATCTCTGAATTGTATTAAGAGTTTGAAGCGTTATTTTAGGAATGCAGAAAGGCCGCCACGGCATCCACAGAAATAAAATACGTTTGTAAAGAGAAAATGCCGTAACCAGCACTCTAAATAGCCTAAAATGTTGATAATAGTACAATATATTAAAACGTAGCACGTGCATACTTCTCACAAGGGGAGGTCGCATCAAACTGTTTTGGGACTTTAACGAAGTTTAAACATATTAATCCATCTAACATTTCAAATTTCAATTAATTTGGTGTGCTACACTTCTCAGTGACTAACAATATTCTTGAGGTAGTTCTGAAGAGTTCTCAGAGATGGCGCGGCGGTGATGCGCGCGCAGTTTGATATGAGATAAATATCGCTAATAAAGACTGACGAAGACAATAAGCAGTACAAAAAAGGAAGTTTATGTACAAAAATATCACTGTAAAATCTAATTATTCATCTTCACTCATCGTCATTATCTTCGGTGTCATCCACTTGACCCTGGTCAACTTTATACATATGCTGGATAAGATCTGTGATTCGGTGAGAATAACCGTATTCATTGTCATACCTGTTTAATACATATTTGAAATTATGCTTCAGTATATTCTATCCTTAAAACAGTTCCTATACAAAGTAGATGTATTCATATCCCATTACAACAAAATTATACAAAATATATTCTCTTTCCATTAATTATGACATTTAGGAATACTTACCAAGCGACAACTTTGATGAAAGTACTGGTTTGCGGTATTCCAGCTTTTGCGTCGAAAATACAAGAGTACGTTGTATGATTGAAATCCGAAGACACACAGTCATCTTCGGTATATGCCAGTATGTCTTTTAACGCACCTTTTTCAGAAGCTTCTCTCATTGCCGTTTTTACCTCTTCATATGTTGTTGGTTTTTGAACTCTTTAAACGAAAAAAAAAAGAAAACAAAGTCAATCCTAAATTAAGATTTCTAAAATTTGTATTTCTAAATCGAGAGGAATTATTAATTTGCAATGTCCGACCTCTTAGGAACCCCTTCTACTTTTGACTAACAATAAGTAATTTCTTATTTGTTATTAATTACTCGCGATTTTTAGGATTAATTGGGATTTACCTGAAGGTGACGTCACAGAGTGAGACATTCGCAACAGGTACACGAAAGGCGATTGCAGAGATTTTGTCCTTCATTTCTGGAATTACTTTGCAAAGTGCCTTTGCTGCGCCGGTCGATGTTGGTATGATGTTTTGGCTGCATCCCCTACCATCCCGCCATAACTAAAAAGGATAAAAACAAAATAAGACAAGGTAATTAAATTGAAACGAGGGATTTGTCAGTTGGTCAAATTATATTTTTTGTTCGGATCGTCTAATAACCATTTCGCGTAATAAATGGGGGGTGGAGATCGTTCGATGAAAGAAGTACCTTTCCAGTAGGACCATCTAACGTCTTCTGAGTAGCTGTTATGGCATGCACGGAAGTGATCATCGCCTCGATGACTTCGAAATTGTCGTGCATCACTTTGACGAGAGGAGCTGCACAATTAGTTGTACAAGAAGCTGCCGACACAACGGCATTCTTTGATGATTTGTAGCATTTGTGATTGACCCCGAAGACGTACATCGGAGCGTCCACCGAGGGCGCTGTAATCACAACCCTTTTGGCGCCTCCATCTATGTGCAGCTAAGAAGTAACAAGGAGAAATTACTTAACAATAATTCGACATAATTGTACAAACTGGAAATCCAGACTCCAAGTGAAAATAATTAGTAATGAAAATTGTACATATCCTTTGTTCAGACTATATGTGCCCATAATTATGAAAGCGGTCTAAGTCAAAATTGAAAAAAAATGAGTTTATCAGTTATTTCACGCCACGTTATTTCAAACGAAATTAATTCAATGTAATTTCGAAACAAAAAATATATGACTTAGACCACTTTCATAATTATGGGCATATATGAAGAATGTTAGAACAAGTGAGTTTCTTCCCTTCGTTAGAAAGGTGTTTATAAATTACTGTCTTTTAAACTCATTTGTATTTAATTTAATCGAGGCAGTTCATATGTGTTTACGTAGAGTATTCGGTATTAAAAAAACATTATGGAGTGCGTAACAATGTTTTGTAATACCAACACTGGCTTTTTCCAAGGTGGTGAAGACACCTGTCGCCTCTATCACGAAGACCACTCCAGCATCCTTCCATCTTATCTTCGAGGGATCCTTTTCCTGGGAGGTTGTTATCTTCTTCCCTTAAAGATATGGATTGAAGATATCGATTACGTAGGAATTAATCTACAGATAGCGGATTATTATTAGAGTATGGTATTGTTAATTAACCAATGTGTTACCTTCCGGTCCCCCTATCACTAAGGCCCCATCGTCGCATTCTATGTCACCAGGAAAACGACCATGGGTTGAATCGTACTTGAAGAGGTACACCATGTAATCGGATGGCACGAATGGGTCGTTTATGTGCCTCACCTAAATATAAAAATTTGGAAAATATTAAAAAATTTCCAATTTTCTCTGGGAATTCATCTCTAGGGTTAATAAACAATGTTTTGAGCCAAATACATTGTGAATGAGAAAAGCGTTTAAGGCATAAAGTATTAGATTAACCCTTTGAGCGCTAAGCACTTTCGACATACGGGCGAATTTCCTTAGACCGTGCCCGCGATCTTGGGCCAAACGTCGGACGCACATATGCGTCGACAGCGCTCAAAGGGTTAAAGAATACAATAAAATCTTGTTTTTCATGGTTTTTAGGCATACGTCCAACTCATTTTCAATACAAGCTCGCAAGCACATCCGACCAATCCTGCCAAATCCGTTGATTCCTATGGTCGCCATTCCTTGATAACCCAATCAATGACACCGAAAATGACATAGAAAAGTGACAGGAACGCCTTGTCACTTTTTTACGTGAACTGGCAAACATTTTCAGTCTAGAGACAGAAGAAGGAGCTGAAGAAGTCAATTTTTGTACAGGGTTCTTTTCGTAATTGTACTGTCGCAATTAAGGCAAGAAATAATCGCAACTTCGGACTAATCGTGAAGAAATTCACTTAACGATATGAAAAGGTCATTATATATATATATATGAATATGAATAATATATATATGAAACGTCAAAATATTGATAAAACTTTTCGCCAAACTGGACCAAAATCATTTCAAATTTCAGCATGTGATTACGGAGGCCCTAAGGAAGAACGCAATGCTAATGAAATTCCATTTTTAATACAACATTTTTATAATTATTCCAGACAAGAACCAAGAATACATATTTTTTTGAAAAATCAAATTTCATGAGCACCACGTTCTTCTTTAGGACCTCCATAAGTCAGGGATAAATAAACAATTTTTTTTAAAGCATCCCCGAAGCTTCAAATAATTCGGTGTACGCAGCTTGGAGGAAAGTTTTATAATTATTTATATTATTTTATATATAATTATATATATCGTCTTAATCCTTTCATATCGTCTTAATTTACTAGAATTTCGTTAGGCCGCAAGAACCGAACACATCGCGTGTCTTGATAGCTTATCGTAAATCAAATTTGAATATTAGTGCCTCGAATCGACATTTTCGTGGAAATCTACGCTCATATTTACCACCGAATACGCATAAGTTATATTGACCGTATTGTGACAGTATATTGACAAATTGACAGTCCATCGATTGAGTTTCATGAAATAGTAATTTAACTCTCAGTCACAGAAACGACTCGAAGTCGCTAACATTTCACGTAATATGTATTGTTAATTTAATTTTTATACCGTATAGTGTGATAAATAAATCTAGTCGGATAGTAATTTCTATTACACGAGACTGTAAGAATTGTAACATTAAAGTTTCATATCGGCAAAAATCGTAATTTTAGAGGTCCGTCCGGAATTGCAAATGGATTTAATTTAACGATTGATTTAATTTTCATTTAATTTAATTTAAATCGCAGACTCTTGGTAATGTGTATGTAAAATTTTAGGACGTTATTTATTTGCGAATTGTCAATATTATTAACTATTACGGCGTTGCAACAATGTCGTTCGAAGACACGGTGGCGTCTTTGAAAGCATGCATTATTTCCAGAAAAGGAGGAGTACCCTTAGAAGAAATAAATAGTAAGCTATAATTGATATTCAGTGTTACGATATAACAATGAATTAAAAAAAAAAAAAATTGAACAAATGTGGAAATGCGGGAAATTTTCTCGTGTATTGTTTGTGGTCCCTTCTGCACGTTTTTCGATTTAAATTAATTTATTTCATTTACCTGCTGGACTGACACTTTTTCATTTAAGGTGAATATGAAAAACTTGTTGGACGATCAATACCGTACATGAAACTTGGATTTACTTCTCTGTTCGACCTGCTGCGAAATATTCCGGACATTTACACGAAACGCAATGAAAAAGACGAGCATTTCTTTCAAGTCGTGGATTCGGCTACGGCACATATTCAACATCTTGTTAATAAACAAAGGAGTGCGGAGAGCGTTCGATTTGCGCAAGAGGTGACTAACTGCCTGAGACAATGATCACATATTTTACTATTTATTAGTTTATTTACCCATGTGGTAAAAAAATGTCCTTCATTGATTCGTTTCTTAGAAATATCAGTATTTCATCCAATGTCCCAAAATGTATACAGTATTTCTATTCACTCAGTTTCATTCAGTTAAATGTAGAATTGCTTTCCTAAAAGTTTACTGAGATTGTTAATCGATATGTTACACAATTTAGTGTAATGACTTATATTACGTTAAAGTGAATCCTTTGAATGATAATCATGTAAAATTCGGGAAACTGCAGACTTGATCATTCAGTTAGAAAAGTCGAGGTAGATCCGAAAAGAATCCGCCTTTGCTGTAAATTATTTTTTGTTAATAATAAATAGAGGCTCGCTCGATAGTGGATATTATTTGATACTGTTTTCTTGCAGGCCGGAAGAAAGAAAAGCGGAAATAAAAAAAGAGATGAATTTTTAAGCTCGAGGTGGCGCAATTCTAGCGAAGACCGAAATTCTCAACGGCGAAGAAAGACAAGAGACGTGAACAATGAAATCAGAAGTCAAAACAGAATGAGAAGCCTAGGACGCCGACGAAATTATGAGAAAGGTGAGGAAATAGATTTTTGTAATATGTAGAGGAAAAGGTAAAATGCGATATGCATTTTTTTTTTTTTTTTCCATAGAGTTTGGTGATTTCAATTCTTTATGGGATTCAGAGCAGTCCGAGTTGCAAAGCTATGAACATGGCGAGAGTTTGATAGATTATGAAATCGATGTTTACGAATGCAGCTATCCGGTTGTGATCGCTGAAAAAATCCTCGATTTGGTAAGAATTTAATTAGCCAATTAGAGAAATTCAATGAAAATGGTAGGATTAATCAAACGAGAAAACCCTGATGGATTTAAGTACACTACAGTAGGTACAGAGAAATTTGAGTAATTAATTATTTCTCTAGAATCGGATTTTCGAACCTGTTGTTTACGGCCAACAATTAATTGGCGATGACTTCTTCCTGCAATTAACAATTCGAAATATTCCAGATGCCCAAATAATAAGAGAAGATAGTAAGTAGTAGACAATGAAATTCCAATACTCGATACTTTATTAACGTTTGTAATTAAGCCTTATTTTATATATACTTTGGTTAATTCATTTTCATATAAACATTGTGATCAATTTTCAGATCGATCTCCGATTCATAGCGGTCTCTGTATATCTGGACAAACAATTGCAGGATGTATTGAAAAATTGAAGAAAGTGAAATCCTTAACAAATAGAATAACTATTCTTCTCGGAGCTGTTGATATTTACATGGTTAGTGTTAAAATAGCAAAATTAAATAAACCCGTTCGGACATAACCAATAATTCAATTAGAAGGAAAGTTAACTTTTAAAAAATCCATAATCTCCATGCACGCTTTTATAATTAATCCCCATAGTTTCCATCTACATATATTTATAATTATTTCACACGATTAAAAATTCTGAAATATGTATGAACAACTCAAGGAGAAAGGATTGCTCCTTAAATTAATTCCATATACTTATAAAAATGAGTCAGAGAAATAGTGAATGAAAAGAGAAATTAAAAGTGTGCCTCTTATTAAGTCTTGCGTCCCACATTCGGCATTTTATTTTAAATATTAACCGAAGCCGTATTGTCATTTAATTTATGAAACAATTGCTTTTCTTTGTAGAAACGCAGCAGGGAACAACTGATATCCGACATGGAATCGTTATTGGAACTTTGTATTGATAGATTCGGCTTCTCTAAGTCGACCATCACCCTTTGTACGATTCCGCCATTAGCAAATATTTCATTAATGTGTCATCCTAATCAGTTCAACACTTTGCTTGGATTTAACAGCTGGATAAAAAGCATAAGTTGCAGGTCAACTTTCAAGGAAATGAAGAGCGCTTATAGATTGATTGACTTTTTCACGGCATTCACTGGCAAAAATATGAGCACGGACTACAAATTATTTCAAATGTTAACATAACTTTTTCTATATGTTTAAGATTAAGTATTCACTTAAAGTGTTTAAGTAAAAAGTAATCGCAGTATACATTTTATTTTTATATATATATTCTTTTTATTTTCCAGGGAAGCTCGAATGGTTTCCGGATGTTCGTCCGCCCACGTGCTTTGGAGCAAAACTGGTCGCAAAAAAGCGATAAATTTATTGCGACTAAATACAATTCGAATGTTGAAATCGGAAGATAATCCAAATCCTTACGAAACCGAAGAATAAATTATATCGTTATATATAGAATGTACTGAAAGATAATTAGAGGGAAGGATAACGTTTGAATGTTGATAAGTGAAAGAGAGTCATGAATGAATTAATAATTACGTCGTTAAGACCAATTTGTTATGATTGTTAGGAAGTGGTTTTTAGTTATTAGTAGATATTCTGATGGAAATTTGTTGTCTAGTTTTTTTATAGTTCTGTTTATGTCTTTTGAAAAGGTTTATATTGTGTATTATGTATAGATTAAGGATTTTTAACATTATTAGCGTAAGTTCGTAATTTGTTATTATCGAATTGACAGGAAATAATTGCAAGAAAGGGAATGTTATCTGTTATGTGTTTTCGGGAAAGAACCTCTGTTAGTTCCTTTCTCTTCTTTCGAACTCTTGCTAATTAATAATTTAAGAAAAATTGTTTACGTTTCTCTTCACATCGACATTATACTTCTATTGGGAAAATTTATAAACTGAGATATTAACATATGATTAGTCGATACAATGATGGATTATCAAAACTGATGTGTCGTCTTGTTTAAATTTTGTATATCTTAAAAAGTTGCTATACACAGTGTGCCAGACAATTTGCATCGGCACGCTTTTTAACATAACAATCAATTGCAATTATTCGATTTAAGAGCAGAACATCTCTGTAAATGACCGACCGTATTCCCGAATTTGTTATCTAAGTTGTTAAATTTTTCCTCCGAATGTTTGGCCGCGTGTTCGTATTATCTGGCGATTGCATGATTGTTTGCGTTATTTGTTATTTACATAATTTTAAAAAATAAAAGATGTTTCTGTGATGAACCGTGCCTTGTTTCCACACAGCGTAAGATAATCCAGATCATTTCAAAATGCGATATGCCCAATATGATTACCGAGACATTTGGCAATAATTTCTGGCTCGTTAACAATTTTTCCTGTTTAGTCCTTTTGGAAGCTCTATGATAACGGCGAGCATTATCTTACAGCTCGCGTGCATCTTGAAAGATTCGGATAAAAAATACGACCACGTGTTCAGATTCAACGATGTTTCCTGATGTATGTTCATGATTTGCATATCGTTTGCTCTTTCCAACCAAGACATTAAGTCCTGCACTTCTCTAGGTTTGCCTTAGGATTCGGATTAATGATACGGCCTCAGTTGACGGCTGATAACGTATCTTTGTATTTCAGGTTGCGCAACATGTTTTTATGTGGCGATAAAGTACGACGAAAGGAGTGATACTACCTAATGCTCGTTGGCGTATTTATTCGAATAATAAACCCTGAAGAGCCTCGGTGAGTTTTCCACGGACTCATAATCAACCCGATGATGCTTACCAAATTATCTCCATTATCACAGGACTTTCATAATTTGCCAAGAACTGGAGGATGAATTCTTCGTGTAAGATGGAAAGATCAATAGCGCCATTGATGACTAAATGACATTTTTGTTAGATTAATAAACGCTTAAGGAAGATCTTGAATAGACTCCTGAAAATCAGCCTGGTGATGATGCTTCAAATGGAAGAAAAATAATTATCATGAGATAAAATTATTCCATAATTTATCGAGATTAAAAAAATAATAAACTCTTCCGATGACGGAAGAACAAATGATACCATAGAACGCTTGGTGACGAATTAATTCGATTAATAAACCCTGAAGGTGTCCTCAAAGAGTTTTGCCAAGTCTTCTTCCGATTGTTCTCGTCGAGCCAACGTATTTCATGTTCCATAATTTATCAAGATTAAAAAACAATAAATTCTTCTGATGACGGAAGAACAAATGATACCATAGATCGCTTGCCGACGAATTAATTCGATTAATAAACCCTAAAGGTGTTCTCAAAGAGTTTCGCCAAGTCTTCTTCCGATTGCTGTCGTCGAGCCAACGTATTCCATATTCCATAATTTATCAAGATTGAAAAACAATAAATTCTTTCGATGACAAAAGAACGAATGATACCGTAGATCGCTTGCTGACGAATTAATTCGGTTAATAAACCCTGAAGGTGTCCTCGAAGAGTTTCGCCAAGTCTTCTTCCGATTGCTCTCGTGGAGCCAATCTGGTGATGCGGTGCTGCACAAAATTGATAAGAGAACGATTATCGGGACGTAGAAATATTTTCTAATCTACCAAGAAGTAGATAGCGATAAATTATTCCGCAATCTTGAATCGGAAGGCGCAATTGATTTTTCGCTTTTTTTTTCGCTCGAATATAAAGTACTCACTTGAGGTAAGGTACCCTTGACTAATGTCGGGATGTCCTCTTTCTGGAAGCCGAGCTCCTGGAGCCCGTTTTCAATTTTCATCGTTTGCATATATTTCCGCACCGTATCTGCCAAGATCTTCCCGGCGTCATTTTTCTTCGCATTGGAAACATCCGTGCCGAGAAGCTTTGCAGCTTCAAGGTGCCTCTCTGGACATGCATTTCCCGTAAATGCGAAAACTGCTGGTGCGGATATTACCACCGAAAGACCATGGGGAATTATAGGGTGATGGTCGCTGTATCCCTGAAACATGAAATCAAGTTAACAAGGAATATAATTTAATTATAAGGAAGAACATGACATTCTGAATCCATGCGAGATGATAATAATACGTAATGAACGTAATTCAATGACAGGCAGAACTTGAAATTGTGAATCCATGCGAGATGAAATGAATATAAAAATAATAATACGTAACGAACGTTATTTAATGACAAGCAGAACCCGAAATTATGAATCCATGCGAGATGAAATGAATATAAAAATAAAAATACGTAATGAATGTCGAATGAGACATTTGGAATGACATTCATACCCATTGCCACAGGCGTGTTCAAAAGATCGTTCGGGCAAATGTTCATGAAATGAATATAAAAATAAAAAATACGTAACGAATCCCGAATGAGACATTTGAAAGGACATTCATATCCATTGCCATAGGCGTGTTCAGGAGATCGTTCAGGTAAAAGTTAATGAAATGGATATAAAAATGAAAATACGTAACAAATCCCGAATGAGATATTTGGACCGACATTCACATTCGTTGCCACAGGTGTGTTCAGAAGATCATTCAGGTAAATGTTCATGAAATGGATATAAAAATAAAAAATACGTAACAAATCCCGAATGAGATATTTGGACCGACATTCACATTCGTTGCTACAGGCGTGTTCAGAAGATCGTTCGGTTAAACGTTCATAAAACTCACCTTAGGCTGAAAAGTTCGTGCATTTCCACTAATGGAATAGGACAATCCATGGCAGAGATGCACCCCAGCGTTTCCAAAGCCAACACCAGCCATAGTGCTGGCCAGATGCATGTTGCTCCTGGCTTCCAAGTCTTCGGGATCATAAACAGCCCTTTCGAAGTACCTCCTCATGACGTCCAAGGAATGGCGTGCCCACACATCGCTTATGGGGTTACTGCCTTGATAAGCCGGTCTCAAGATCGGGTCCGTGGGACATGGGGTCCTCTCCGTATAGGGAATAGCCGTAAAGGACTCCAACGCGTGGCAAAGGACATCAAACCCCGAAAAGGCGCAGACTCTTTCCGGCAACGAGAGAGTGTGTTTCGGATCCACGATGCCAAGAGTCGGCCTCAGGGCTCTGTTCGCGATCCCCGTCTTCGCCTTTAATGGCTTGTAATCGAAAATCGAGACTCCGGTAGTCTCGGAACCCGTACCGGAAGTTGTCGGGACTGCTATCAATGGTTTCAGACCGATTCGGACTGGCTTCCCTTTGCCGATCGGTGGGTTAACGTAGTCCAGGAAGTCGGCTTCTGGGTCGCTCGCGTATAGATTAGCGGCTTTGCAGGTGTCCATCGTGGACCCACCTCCGACCTGGGAAAAGGAACTTCGTTAACGATCCTTTAAGGTGATATGAAAGTGTGATGTATACATAACAAAAAGTCAAAGTGTTTATAAAACTTTTCTACAAAGTAGCTGCACCTACATCCGATCAGCTGATACTTTGACACGTGGTTATGGAGGCCCTAAGGAATAACGCGCTGCTCGTAAAATTTCTTCCTTCTTTTTTTTTTAAATTTCCTACTTATCTCGGACAAGAACATGATTGTGGAGGTGCTAAGGAAGAACGCAAGGTTTATGAAATTTCACTTTTCCCAAAAAGAAATGTGTGTCCTTGGTTCTAGTCTGGGATAAATGAAGAATTTTTTTTTGTAAAATTTAATTTCACAACCATCGCGTTCTTCTTTAGGGCTTCCATAATTACATGCTGAAGTTTCATATGATTCGGTGGACCTAGTTTGGAGAAAATTTTAATATTTTGACGTTTTATATGTATTGAATGACCCTTTCATATCAGCTTAAGCACTTTTGACACGCACGTGTTTGCGCCTACCGCGACATAAGCGTCAAATTGTCCTCTTTTGACAAATGCAATGGCATCCTGGAGGCTCTCCTCGGTTGGTTCCACCCTGACCCTGTCATAGACTTCAAAATTGACACCATACTTTGACAGACTGTCCATGGCGTCCTTCATGGCTGCCAATTTCGAAAGATTCGGGTCGGTCATTACGCACACTTTTTTCGCGCCCATATTGTTTAAATCCATCCCAAGTTCTTTTGTCACTCCGATTCCATACCTTATGGTTGAACAAGCCATCTGAAAAGAGGCATGCATGAGAAACTCTAAAAATTCGGAAGAAAGATCAGGAACTACCCTGAGAAAAACAAGATCGCTGAACCAAAGAGATATTTCTTTGAATAGTACCAATGAAACATTCTATTAACCCTTTGAACACGGAGTCTTTTCGACATACGGTCGAAATTCGTCTGACCGTGCAGGCAATATTGGACCAAACGTGGGGCGCCTTTAGGCGCTCTTAGTAGCCGAAGGGTTAATTGATAGAATAATCATTTGACACAAATTAACTCGCATTGGGTGCAACCTGTTTTTTGGGAATTCTGACAATTTATTTCAGTCAAATAATTTATTCCTTGAACGATAAAAATATTTCTTTGGTTCATGAATTCTTCTGCTTCTCAGGGTGGAATTTTAGCATCGGAATTTTTTTAAAGTTGACCGAAATAGCGTCACAATATTTCTTGCATTCTTGGTAAGTAAATAAGTAAATAAGCGATGCTTCATACCGAAGGATGGAAAATAAAGATTTTTACCTCAAACGCGTAATCTTTGGACGTCGACGGACTCGCAGTTGTGACGTTAACTCTACCGTGAACATGATTCGAATTTATTCCAGGATTTCCATGGGCAGGACATTTGCATCTACATAAAAATAGAAATTTATGTATTCAACGCTGTACAACCAAAAGCTGTACACGAATAACTCCAAGTACTCTACAAGAAACGATTAACAAGAGAAATTATGAAATTAAATATCACACATAGTGATAAAGTCAAGAAATTAAATTCTGCATGTAATGAAAAAAATCATGAAAGTAAGTACTACATGTAATGAAAAAAATCATGGCGCTGGAAGTGACACTTCAAAATCAAAGAGAATTATTCGGCGTTATTAATAATTCTTAATTATGCTTTTGCGGCTGCTTTCATAAGTGTCGAACTTGTACGTGATACCACGCTATAAGAAGTTTCACTCCAAAAAAAAAAAATGAAGAAACAACTTACGACTGCGACGAGATGACTCGTAGAAGGTCTACCACTCGATTTCTCGGCAACATCCTTATCACCGTAGGACTAAAAGCAACTAAAAATACTCGAAAAGATGTGTTTAGAAATGGTCCCTTAGAGAGTATAGTCAATTTATGGTCCGACTGGTGTGGACTGACTTCCTACTACAGAGCCACAGAGTTTGGCTTGCTTTAACATGAACAGACTCTGGACGACCTCGATCCCCTCTTCTTTTGCTATCAAGCCACGTCACGAATGCCGCCAAACATGTTCGATAACTTTTGTGCGTAACAATATCGACGTGGTGTGAGAAATGGGAGAGAAAACGAGAACGAGCGCTTGTTTGCGGTTTGATTTGCAGAAACGCCATTTTTGTTTGCTGCACCTCAGACGTACATTTGCCGATAAGAAATTGTAATGATAAATAAGCATTAGAATTCTGAATTATATCTCAAGCCACGTCACGAATGACGCTAAGCACGTTCGATAATTTTTCTGAATAACAATATCGACGTGGTGTGAGAAATGGGAGAGAAAAAGAGAACGAGCGTTTGTTCGCGCCTTCATTTGCAGAAACGCCATTTTTGTTTGCTGCACTTCAGACGTACATATGTGGATAAGAAGTTGTAATGATAAATAAGCATTGGAATTCTGAATTAAATATCAAGCCACGTCACGAATGACGCCAAACACGTTCGATAACTTTTGTGCGTAACAATATCGACGTGGTGTGAGAAATGGGAAAGAAAACGAGAACGAGCGTTTGCGGTTTGATTTGCAGAAACGCCATTTTTGTTTGCTGCACTTCAGACATACATTTGTCGATAAGAAATTGTAATGATAAATAAGCATTTGAATTCTGAATTAAATATCAAGCCACGTCACGAATGACGCTAAACACGTTCGATAATTTTTCTGAATAACAATATCGACGTGGTGTGAGAAATGGGAGAGAAAACGAGAACGAGCGCTTGTTCGCGCCTTCATTTGCAGAAACGTCATTTTTGTTTGCTGCACTTCAGACGTACATTTGCCGATAAGAAACTGTAATGATAAATAAGCATTAGAATAAGGAAGGTTCTGACACTCATGAAATTTCATTTTTCATAACAAATTAAAAAATATCTATGAACAAATTAAAAAAAAAATTGAAATTTCGTGAATTTTAGGACCTTCCTTATACCCTCCATATTTATATTATAAAGTTTGAATCGATTCAGTACACCCAGTTTGAAGAAAAGTTTCATGAACGAGAACTCATTGACGCCACTTTCAAATTACCTTCCTGCTGCCTTGCTACATTGTTACATATCTCAGAGGTTAACCAAATGTTTTGGTGCCCATTTCTAAATAGAGAAGGCTTTATTAAGGCGTTTTACATTATTTACAGCATGTACTTATAGGTATTATGTGACTGCATACAGGGCGTTTGAACATCGACAAACGTTTCATTTCGTCCTAACCCTTTAAATTAGCAATTCGGACCCATCAATCGTCGACGGGGATGACAAAACACTGAAAAAAAAAAAAACTCCCCATCCAAATTCCAGATGATTGGTTTAAATATAGAGGACATATTTCTCAGTGCACGAATCGCTTAACATCGTTACATAGTTACATGTCTCCATATAAGATTGTCAGGTGCGACTATTCGGCACCTCTCTAAGAGCTACACCCTTGTCAACCAAGGATCCCTAGTCAATCTTAAGGTAATTCAAAAGACGAAATGCCGCCACTTAGAACCAACAACGATTCAAACTATTTCCCCGCCTTAAGTAATTAAGGCGGTGTGAAAGTGGCATCAAAGAAATCTCGCTTACAAAATATCTCCGAACATGGTGTACCGAATCGTTTCAAACTTTACAACGTGAATACAAAGGCTATAAAGAAGACCCTGACGCCCATGAAATTTCATTTTTTATACAATTTTTTTTAGTATATATAAACAAATATTAAAATAAAAAAAATTGAAAGGTGGGTTTCGGGACCTTCTAAGTAGCCTTCGAATTCATTTTGTAAAGTGTGAAACGATTCGGTACACCCAGTTTGGAGAAGTTTCATAAATGAGACCTCTTTGACGCCACTTTCACCCCGCCTTAAATCAATCGCCCGAAACTTGGACGCGAAGTCTATTCAGAACGGAATAATCTACAAATCTGAAGTGCGTCAGGAATATACAATTAGGCATTAATAAATGACCACGAATTTGCAAGTCGTTCCTCCCCACTGTATTTCAAGTCCTCCAATTATTTTCCAAAGAATTAACAATCCAAGTTCCGGTTGATCTAATACCATTCCTTAAGGTCTTGGTATGCCGATGGACATGAATTCCCGTCATACACGTCACAATTAGGTTGAGGAATAAATTCTCGCCATGTTTAACGTAACGTAACGTAATTAAGGTGTTATGAAAGTGTCATATACGAGTATATCTCAAAAGTGAAAATATTAATCAAACTTTTCTTCAAATTGGGTGCACCGAATCATTTGAAACTTCACCACGTGATTATGAAAGCTGTAAGGAAGAACGCGATGCTCGTGAAATTTAATTTTTCTCCAAAAAAAAATTGTTTATCTGTCCTAGACTGGAATTAAGATTACATTTTTTTGTTTTTGTGAAAAGTGGAATTTCAAGAGCATCGAGTTCTTTCTTAGGGCCTCTATAATCACGTGTTGAAGTTTCAAATGATTCGGCGCACCTAGTTTGGAGAAAAGTGTTTTTTAATATTTATACGGTATATGTGTGTAGATAGATATATAACCCTTTCATGTCACCTTAAAACGGCGGGAATTTATTCCTCGACCTAATATATCCGCAAGAAAAGCCTTCGTGTCCATCAGAGTACCTAGGACTTTGTAAAGGAATTCCACCAAGAATGAATCATCGACAAATCCCAAAATGGTTTGTTCCTATGCATAAATATCCCACCCATTTCCAGAATACCGCCTCTTCGTTCATGCTCGCAGTGAAGTGTCGCGATCTAGGGAAGTTCAGTTCAGGACAAGTCAGGAGCGAAAAGCATTCGATCGGTCCTCTATGAAAGCAGTTTATGGCCTTTGATACCACCTTAAGGGTGCTGTTAACTGTCCTCACTCCGAGCGAATCCATTAAGGTGATATGAAATTGGCATCCGAGGAGTCAATCGTTAACAAAACATTCCTCCGACCTAAGTGTAACCAAAAATCATTGAAAACTTCACCACGCAAACATGAAACCCTTAAGGAAGGTCTCGACTTCCATGGAATTAACTTCAGTACAGAAACATAAAAAATGTTTATAACAAATTTTAAAAGAAATGCCGTCCCATGGGTGTAGGGACCTTCCCCAGGGCTTAACAAATAAACTGGTGAAATTTCAGACGATTTGGTACACCCGATTCCGGGATAAGTTTCATAAATGACTCTTAGACGCCACTTTCATACCCCCTTAAGAGGATGTGAAAGTGGCATCCGAAAGCTCAATCTTTCGTAAAGCTTTTCTACTAACTGCATGTCTCGAATCGTTTCATACTTTAAAACGTGAATATAGAGACCCTAAGGTAGGTCCTGAAACTCGGGAAATTTCGCTTTTTTATAAACTATTTTTAAAATACGTATAAACAAATTTGAAAAGAATTGAAATTTCATGAGTTTCAGGACCTTCCTTATAGTCTCCCTATTCACGTTGTAAGGTTTGTCGAACTATTCGGTAAACCGAGTCGAGAGAAATGTTTTATAAACAAAACCTCTTAGACGCCACTTTCATACCCCCTTAATCCGCGTAGTAACGATCATAGGTTACTCCCATTAAAATCTAAGATGTTAAGGCATCACCGATGCGTTCGTATTGTATCGTAAGTAGCGATAATGATATGCCGATTACACGCTCTCGGGCACGATCTTATCATAATGGAAGGTGCCCACCGAATAGAAGCTGCCCCTCTTGGGCATGCGAGGGGTCGGGATTTCCTCCTGAAGAGGTTTGTAGACCAATCCGCAGTTCTTGTTATCGATAAGACCTTGGCGGAGGATCATCGGGGTGCGGATCACTGGCCCACGACCTTTACGTCTGGCCATGCGCACAGCTATATGGGATGCCATTAACAGAACCGCCAAAGTAATCAGAATTACGGTGATTACCGACCACATGGCACCTCCGTACCAAGGTCGGTACTCTTCAGTAGGTCCCAGGGTGGAGTAATCTTCATATTCCTTCTGATCCTCGGCAGTCCACGCACCTTCGGCCTCGTCGTCGTGGCCTTGACCATGGTCCAGCTGAAAGAGCATAAAAAAATTCGGCATTAACGACAATTCTTCTCATTTTCCAGCAGACAAGACATATTCAGACGTCTAAGTTCCTATGAGAGGTTATAGTAGGTCTTAAGGTAAAGTGAAAGTAGCGTCAAAAGCATAAAAAATCCGGCATTAACGACAATTCTACTCATTTTCCAGTAAACAAGACATATTCATATGTCTAAGTTCCTATGAGAAGTTATAGTAGGTCTTAAGGCGATGCAAAAGTGCCGTCAAGGGATTCTCGTTCATGAAACTTTTCTCTAAACTGAATCGATTCAAACTTTACAATACAAATATGAAGGGTATAAGCAAGGTCCTGAAACTCATGAAATTTCATTTTTTTCAAATTTCTTCATAGATATCTTAAACAATTTGTGATGAAAAATGAAATTTCATTTTTTATCACAATGAAATTTCATTTTTATCACAATGGAATTTCATTTTTTTGTTTTATACGGAACTTTAAAAATATTAACAAGTTTAGAACCTCCCTATTTCCGTGATCAATTTTCAGACGATATGGTACACCCAGTCCGGGGAAAAGTCATAAATGAAACGTCACTTTCACATCGCCTTAAGCGATGAAACATCTCAACCGTAATGGAAACAAAATGAAATTTTACCACACTAATGTAGAGACTCTAAAGAAGGTCTCGACACCCTTGAAATTCCATTTCTTTTTGTTTTACACAGAACTTTCAAAATATTAACAAATTTAGGACCTCCCTATTTACGTGATCAATTTTCAGACGATATGGTATATCCAATCCGGGGAAAAGTCATATAAATGAAACGTCACTTTCACATCGCCTTAAGCGATGAAACATTCCCACCGCAATGGAATAAGTGTCTTGGAAACGTTTCTGATTCACGATGTACCGAGTGAAGGATTTACGACGAGATCTAAGAGTTCCCGGTGATAACTCCGCCCCTTATCTTTTCTTTCCTATGTACCTGGCTCCCATCGATATCGTCTTCGAGAAGTTGATTCGATTGCCTGGATATATCGAAGTCCACGACGATGTGGGGGAAGTCCTTTGTCTTGTGTGGAATTGGTCTTGGAGGTGGTCCAGCATCCGCGTTCTCGCAGACCATCTTGGCAAGGTCGCTCCATTGGTTGATGCCTTCTCCCTCGGAATAGTCATCAGCATTTCCGAAGTCGTTCGCGTATTTCACGGACTCGGCTGGTGTGACGTTGTGTTCCATCAGCCATTCGATGGCCTGGTTGAAGTCCTCGTCGCAGTTGAACGGATTGTGCGACATGTCCAACCCGGACAACTTCGGAGTTGCTCGCAACTCCTCTACGGTGAATCGACGGAGTCGATTTCCGCGAACGGATAAGAATCTTAAACAAACAGCGAGTTCATATGAGGATTTCTTCGATTAAGGTCCAAAGATAGGATCAGTCAGGAATGGTGCAATGTTACTCGTTAAGGTACCTTTTCACTTGCTGCATTGTCACTATATTTTATGCAGTAAAATGCTTCGATTGGTAGAAAGTAGACAGATGGACATAGTGGATGACAGGATTTCTTCGATTAAGGTCCAATGATAGGATCAGTCAGGAATGGTGCAATGTTACTCGTTAAGGTACCTTTTCACTTGCTGCATTGTTACTATATTTTATGCAGTAAAGTGCTTCGATTGGTAGAAAATAGATAGTCCTTATGGATGACAGAAAAAGAATTGCGAGTAAGTCGGTGCACTTTGCAGCAGAGCAGCAAGTGGAAAATCATCTTACGATGTTGTTGCAATATTGCATGCAACAAAATGCTTCGATTGCTTGAAAGTCGAGAGATAGCCATCACGGATGACAGAAAAAGAATTGCGAGCTAATCGAAGCACTTTGTAGCAGAACAGCAAGTGAAAAGTCACCTTACGATGTTGGGGCAATATTTCATGCAACAAAATGCTTCGATTGCTTGAAAGTCATCACGGATGACAGAAAAAGAATTGCGAGCCAATCGGTGCATTTTGGAGCAGAGTAGCAGGTGAAAAGTCACATTGACAGGACAATTCGTCAACCAGGTCCTTACCGAAGGCTCCTCAGGGGCACCCTGGCCTCGCTCCATACTCTCTCGAGGGAACACCTGCTTACATCCAGTCTGGACAGACCAGGAGTAAACAGGAACGGAGAAACTTGAAGAGTCACCAGGGCGTTTCCTGCGAGATTCAGCTTCGACAAGCTGGTTGCTCCCCGGAAAGTGTCGGTAGCCAAAACCCTGATGGCGTTATCGGATAGGTCAAGTTCCCGAAGAGACGATAATGGCTCCAGGAGTCCCTTGGGAAGACTCGACAGACGATTCTTCGACAAGATGAGGCGAGTCAGAGCTGGCATGGCGTTGAAGGTACCCTCTTTAAGGGAGTAGAGACCGCAATTCGAACATTCCAAACGATAAACGCTGAAAGAAGGTACAAGGTGAAATAATTCCTCATCCTTTGTCGTCATCGATCAGATGAAGAGGGACTTTCAAGTAACATCTCGATCCATATTTCTTATTTATAATCCTACCCCATCACTTTTCACCCATGAAAATTGACGTTCAAAGTGCAAACATAAACACGAGTTGAAACAATAGAGAGCGTCAAGATACTTTAGTAGAAAAAAAAAAAAAAAACAGCTGGTTTTCTCCTAACTGGGTACAACGAACAGTCTCAAACTTTACATCGTGAACGTTGAATCCCTAAAGAAGGTCCTGATCCTCATGAAATTAAATTTTTTATCAAAAATTTTCAAAGTATTAATAAACAAATTAAAAATAAATTGAAATTCTATGGGCGTCAGGACCTTCCTTATAGCCTCCATATTCACGTTGTTAAGTTTGAAACGATTCGGTACACCAGTTTCGGCAAAAAGTTTCATAAACGAGAGATCTTTGAAGCCGCTTTCGCGCCGCCTTAAGGATTGACTGTTTTAAAATTGGCTAAAAATGTAATTCTGTGGCGCAACCTTCAGAATCTCGTTTCGATAGGCGATCCAAAGGATACCAACCTGAAGGTCTCGTATTCTTGAGCCGTCGTCCTGAAGACGGGCAAGGATTCCAACCCAGGATTGTCGTTCATCAACAGAATCTGCAGTCTAGGATTCGCTCTCAGATGATGCTCCATTAAGGACGTGAGTTTGTTATCGCTGACATCCAGATAAGTCAGCTGACTGAGGTCGACGAAGGCATGTTGATGGATTCTCTTGAGTCCATTGGACGCCAGGATCAGTTGGTCCAGGGATGGAACTCCTATAAGGTCTTCTTTGGCAAGGACCTTGATCCTGTTCCTCGCTGCGTCCAGGGTCGTCAACTTCGTCGCTCTTATGGTGGCCAGGGTCGTCAAGTTGTTGCCTGAAAATTGACTGTTTAAGTACATTCGGCATAAAAGGAGTACAGGAAATCAACCCGGAAACTTAAGTCATAAAACGTCGATACGTGTTCAGAATTCTTTTCCTGCAATAATGTAAAGGACAAGCTCATAAGATCACGTTAAGGACCAAGTATTATCACAGGAGTCATCCATAATTCCGACAGTTTTTTATTTTTTTTCTCGGAGTGTGGTACTTTTTTTGTGGTCTATATTAAGTGACTAACGCGATATCTTAAGGGAATTTGAAAGTGGCATCCGAGAGGTCAATCGGTCATGACACTTTTCTCCAAATTTGGTATACCGAATCGTTTCAAAATTTACAACGTCAATATGGAAGCTATAAGGAAGGTTCTGACCCTCATGAAACTTCATTATTATAACAAATTAAAAAAATATCCATGAACAAATTTTTAAAAAATTGAAATTTCGAGAGTTTTAAGACCTTCCTTATACCCTCCATATTTATATTGTAAAATCGATTCGGTACACCCAGTTTGGAGAAAAGTTTCATGAACGTGAACTCTGACGTTACTTTCATATCACCTTAATTCTATCAAAGACAATATATAACTATGATATACTAACTATACAATGTATAACTAATTTTAATTGATTTGCAGGACCTTACCAGCGACTTTGAGAGTCTGCACCCCCTTGTCCTCGAATAAATCAGGAGGAATGACGCTAAGTTGATTATCCGAAAGGTCCAGCTCCATCAGGGAGTCCAGCGGATCGAATATCGCCTTCTCCACGGTTTTGATCTGATTGTTCCTCAGATTGATGTACACCAGGTTCGGCATTTTGACAAATGCGGTTCGGCGGAGTCGGGGCAGTCCATTGTTGGAGAAGTCCAGCTCGGCAACTCTTGGGGCATCCAGCAAGTAGTCCTTGCCTTTGATCTGGAAGTACCTCAGGGGGTTCCCAGAGATGGTCAGGAAGCTTAACTCGGTGTTGTTTTGGAAGGTATCGGGATGCAGATCCAGAAGAGCGTTCCTCGTCATGTTCACCGCAAAGAGGTAACGCAAGCCGTCGAAGGACGTGCGATCCAACTCGGATATCCTGGTGTCGACGAACAAGATGGACTCCAGCTGTTGAAGATCACGTTCCTGGAAGGCATGAGGTCCAAGCCGAACTTCTGCGGCATTTTCCACCCTCAAATGGGCGATCCCGGGGCCGAAATTCTGCCCCTCGACGAGCCTGCTGCACCTGGACAAACCATCGAACAATGAAACATCACAAACCCTGAGAAGAAATCCTCTTCGTTTCCAGGATATTATTTCATTTAATGGAGTTAAAGAAACTGTAGCATAAAATCAAAGAAATATGGCCGCTAGGAAATGCCGAAATATCTTATGCATTGCATCGATCATGTACTTTACATTAAAATAGTAAAGTATGAAATCCAAACTAGACGTTTCATTTTTTTATTAACTCCTTTCAATGACGTTTTCCTACTATGAGAGCCGATTTGATTTTATGCGACTTGATAACAAGTGACCTTAGATTACCAAGTAGATTTTAATATTGTGACAATGTTTCGATGATTTCCCACGATTTTCAGCGATATACAGCTGAATAATGAAATAAATGAAATTTACATTGTTCTTGGCAGAAAAATAAAAGTTACATTGTCTTTGCCGATACGCGGGGAAACGACCTAATATCAAGTAACAAGGTACATGATTTCCTGAGCGAATAATCCCTAGCAATTTTTAATAATTATTAATCCAACTTCTGGCGAATCGAATACCCTAGACACAGCTGATCGAGTTAACGGACGAGATGTTGCAAATGAAGAACTAATCTTGAGTTGCGAAATTGCCCTGCGAGAGAGTAGCTGACCTTCGCCACCTTATTAGCGTAGAAAGTTGCATACTTCGCAGTGGTTGCAGCGGCGAACAGTCCGGAGCATCTGCAGTAATCGGGACACTGGGTCATAACGTCTTCCTCGTCGTCCATCTCGTCCTCTTCGTCCTCGTCCTCGTCTTCATCTTCGTCGTCGTCGTTATATTCGTCGTCCTCGTCATCCTCGTCGTCGGCGTCTTCGTCGTCGGCGTCGCCGGCTTCGGTGGGGCCGTCGTTCAAGGTGGCGTCCTCAGCCTTCAACAGTTCCTTCAAGGCATGGCTTTCGGACGTGGTGAACGAAGTAGACGTCAGGAACGTCGAATTTCCTCGGGACTTTCCCTTCGGCGAATTAGAGTTCGCCGAAGTACTCGGTCGGTGGTACTTGAACTTTTGCGCCTCCGCCTTTATGGCCTCCGCCATTTCCTCCTGAATCTGCGATATCGTTAACCGTTAACCACAAACGATTAAGAATTCGGACAAACGTGCACAATGCTTCCTCGTTTCCGGCTGCAACCAACTACGGGACATTTTAGTCCCCGGAATGACTCCAAGGACCCGATTCTCCAATTTATACATTGGTCAACGTCATCAATTTTGCGACTTTCAAATGTTGACCAATTACGCGACTATGCAACAATCGATATTTTCTTCACATACGATGAGATTTGAACAAAAAAAAATGTTGCATTGTTGCGAAGTCGCGTCATTAGTCAACGTTTTATTATTGTACGCGAAATTGTCAATTTCGCGTGCGACTTTCAAATGTTGACGACTTCGCGACAATCGATATTTTCTTCACATACGATGAGATTTGCACAAAAAAAATGTTGCATTGTTGCGAAGTCGCGTCATTAGTCAACGTTTTATTATTGTACGCGAAATTGTCAATTTCGCGTGCGACTTTCAAATGTTGACTAATTACGCGACTATGCAACAATCGATATTTTCTTCACATACGATGAGATTTGCACAAAAAAAATGTTGCATTGTTGCGAAGTCGCGTCATTAGTCAATGTTTTATAATTGTACGCGAAATTGTCAATTTCGCGTGCGACTTTAAAACGTTGATCAATTTCCCGTCTTCGTAACAATGCAACATTTTTTTTTGCGAATCTATACGTACATGAGAAAAATTCGTATATTCTTGAGAATCGGCTCCCCGATGACAAAATTTTACATTGTTGTGAAGTCCTTAGTCAACATTTGTATGTCATACGAAATTGTCGATTTCACATGCGGAAGTTCAGTGTATATTGTCGTCATCGCATTATCGTCGGTGGGTCTTTAATGATTTTGACATCTTCATTGTCACCGGAATTGGTATTATTTAAATGTTCTTTAATATGTATCGAAACGTTTCATTTAATAAATAGGTACTCATGACTGAAATCTAATTACACAAACATGTAATTAAATAGTTCAGCGATGAACTTGGAAAAGCTCTGTCACGTTTGTCAAATCTTATCGAGCCAGTGAGTTTGTATTTCCGAGAATCGCCGAATTTCCGATATCATCAACCTACATCGACCTCCAAGAATTGGATTTTATCAACAGCAATTCATCTCCCCGAGTAAAATTAACAGAAATATGATATTAATAGAGATAGGAATTTTTTTCAGGTTCTTACCTTGAAGGTGGAAACTAATAATTACCCTACATTGCAACCCTTTCTATCTCCCGCCGCCTAAATTTACATAAACAAATAAGGAATCACGCAAATCGAAAACGAGGACGCCATTGTGCACAATTATGTCCACCCAAAAAAGTAGGAAACTTCACCTTTTCGCTGGAGGCCTCCTCATCGAGAGATCGAATCTCTTGCAGAAGGATATCCTTGGGATTGAAAATAGGCTTCATGTACGCTATAAAGAAAAAAAATAATAATAATAAACGCGAAATGTTATACAAGGAGTAATGGACTATAAAATAACCCATTACGTGTGCCGTACGACAGAAAAAGGAAAATGCGCGTGGGCAGCAAGCATTGTAATTCGAGGACACGATAGATCTCAACGACTGAGATGATTATTTTTCTAGAAAATAACAAGAACACTCTTTAGTACAAAACTTCAGACCCGGCGCATTTCATTTACCACGTCCCAGCAAAATAAATAAAAATTAATTCAGTGCAGGAGTAATTTTCAGACATTTAAGGTCTTACGAAAGGTTCATTCTATATATATCAAAACGTTAAAATATTTATAAAATTTTTCGCCAAACTGGACGGAAATCATTTGAATTGATTTGGTTTTGAGAATTGTTTGACAGATATTTTGACGTTTTGATATATATAGAATGGCTCTTTCATAACGCCTTAAAAAATTTCATCTAATACTAGTCGCTCCTTCTGATCAATCATGTTCCTTTATATATACATATTTAATTGTAACATATAATATTTAAATATATTTAATATATATATTTGAGTTCATCCGACAGCAGAGTCACTCCATGTCCGACCAATCATGTTCCTTTAAATATATTTAATTAAGGCGATATGAAAGTGGCATGAAGAAGTCTCGTTTATGAAACTTTTCTCCGAACAGGGTGCACCGAACCGTTTCAAACTTGACAATGTGAATATGAAAGCCATAAAGAAGGTCCTGACACTCATAAAATTTCAATTTTTCAAATATTTGTTTACACACGTTTTCAAAATTAAAAAAAAAATGAAATTCTATGAGTTTCAGGACCTACCTTAAGGCCTCGGTATTCATTTTGCAAAGTTGGAAACAATTCGGTACACCCACTAAAGAAACGAAAAGTTTCATGAACGATTAACCTTTCGGATGCCACTTTTACATCGCCTTAATCCTTTGGCTGCTGAGAGCGCCTAAAGGCGCCCGACGTTCGGTCCAATATTGCCTGCACGGTCAGACGAATTTCGCCCGTATGTCGAAATGGCTTCGTATTCAAATGGTTAATCCTTCTGCATGTCTTTCTATTGCCCTAAGTAGTTCAACTCATTCATGGCCGTATCTTTAGACATTTCCCCCGATACTGATAGATTTCCCCTCTAATCTGGGAATCACCTGCAGATATCAACTCATTGACGACATCTTTCGATGGTCTTTCGGTGGTCGTAGTGGTCGATGTGGTCGTCGTAGCGTTCGATGGCTGCTGTTGGGGTGAATATCCGACTCTATTAATTGCTTTCGGTTCGACTTCCGGGGTGGTTGGTTGGGCAATTTGCGTCGTAGTTTCGACTTCCGCCGAATTTACGGAAATCCCTGTCCCCAGGAGGACCGTCAGGAGCAAAATGGCCTTGCCCATCGTGGTCGCTCTCTGGTCTCCCGTCCTGAAAACAAAAAGTCAAATCCATTTTTGATACCACCTATCTACAAAATTCGCAATCATTTAGTTGCCAACACAATAGCTGAAATATTATCACACGACTCGTGAGTGTTTAAGGGACATCCCCATTCATTCAATATTTTGATTAAAATGATAATGTAGACTAAATTCAAAAAAATGATTAGAATAGAAATAACGCATAAAAAATAAGACACATATTTCAGACAATATTCCACCGAGCTAGGTGAAATATTATCCCATGACTTGTGAGTGTATAAGGGACATCCCCATTCATTCAATATTTTGATTAAAATGATAACGTAGGCTAAATTCAAAAAAATGTTTAGAATGGAAACCACGCACCGGTTACCGTGCGTATGAGAAATAAGACACATCTTTCAGACAATATTCCACCGAGCTAGCTGAAATATTATCCCATGACTTATGAGTATATAAGAGACGTCTCCATTCATTCAAAATTTCGATTAAAATGATAATGTAGGCTAAATTAAAAAAAATGTTTAGAATAGAAACCACGCACCGGTTACCGTGCGTATGAGAAATAAGACACATCTTTCAGACAATATTCCACCGAGCTAGCTGAAATATTATCACACGACTCGTGAGTGTTTAAGAGACGTCTCCATTCATTAAAAATGTTGATTAAAATGACAATGTAGGCTAAATTAAAAAAAAAGTTTAGAATGGAAACCACGCACCGGTTACCGTGCAAACGCCTTACCTCCACGGTTTAGAGGTGGGAGAGGTTTTATGACGTCATGGAACTGAAACTCGGTTGCAGATCACTGATAATGAAAAACTGAAACTCAATGTCAACGGTGGAGGCACTGAAAGCGCAAATTGGAATGTACCCAGCGTCTGTACCGTCGCGTGATCGCAGTTGAGCATCTGCCATCGGAGGAATCGGTTACGCCCGCCAAGCTGGTACGCGACCACGAAGAGAGAACGAGAGAGAAGGTAGAGAAAGAGAAAGAGAGAAAGATAGAATGAGAGAGGGGCGACCGCAAGTAATACGATCCGAGATTTATTCATCTCGAATGAAGTTCGCTTCACTTTTCAGGTACGGAAAATTTTGGAGAAGTTTCATTACCTCCCTAACATATTGCAGATTTTTTTCAGATTCGAACGATCTGAAAATTTTCTTATCCAATGACGTCTACAAAAATGAAAACAACGTTTAAGTGGAAATCATTCTTCAAAGAAAAAAATCGCCTCATTGCAAGTAATACGATCCTCGAGATTTGTTCGTCTCAATTGAAGTTCGCTTCACTTTTCAGGTACGGAAAATTTCGGAGAAGCTTCATCACCCCCCTAACATATTGCAGATTATTTTCAGATTCGAATGATATGAACATTTTCTTATCCAATGACGTCTACAAACATGAAAACAACGTTTAAGTAGAAATCATTCTTCATGGAGAAAAATCGCCTCATTGCAAGTAATACGATCCTCGAGATTTGTTCGTCTCAATTGAAGTTCGCTTCTCTTTTCAGGTACGGAAAATTTCGGAGAAGCTTCATCACCCCCCTAACATATTGCAGATTATTTTCAGATTCGAATGATCTCAACATTTATTTATCCAATGACGTCTACAAAAGCGAAAACAACGTTTAAGTGGAAATCATTCTTCACGGAGAAACATCGTCCAGTATTCATTACTACTCATTATACCAGCTCACGTGTAAATATTCAGTTCCAATTAAAACCACAATTTTCATCCACGCAAACCGAAGCCTCGGGAAAATGTTCCTAGAAGATTCCTAAACAATTACCCAGGTCACCCATCCGAGTCCTGACAAAGACCAGCAACGCTTAACTTGATATCACTTGCGTAACTGCTATCACGCCTAAAAGCCTGTTCGATATAATTCTTTATCACTCAAAGTATATACCATAAACATAATACATATATTTTTAAAATACATACATATTTATACATTTACATATGTGCCTCGATATTGTCATTACTAATTATTTCTAGTCATTCATTCGACATATGTTACGATCCAAACTGTACATGCAGTGCGTGCATTTTTTTTCTATGTATGTATATAATACTGATCTCGATGAAGTATCGATAATGATTATTTTCAGAGTTCGTCATCCCTACTTTCAATTGATTCGAGTCAACCAACCGTACCCGTCGCTGAATGTAAATGACGCGACGCGTCATGAGAACGAGTAAACGCGCCTCCGTCGGCGTCCTCATTGCAAAACATTTCCAACGTCTATTATCATTTGTAAATAACTCCGGCATATAAACATTTCTAAGAAACACTGTAACATTTATGTAAAACCCCGAGAAAGACGAGTAAAGGCCAAAAGTCTTCGTCTCGACATCCTGCGTCTCTGGAAAGACTGTAACAACTTCGGATGTTTAAACTATTAAAAGTGAAAAAGTGTTAAACATTTTGAGAACCAAAGAGAAGATCATTCGAGGAGTATGTATTCGCAGTTCCTTGTCAAATTGTGCGTCTCACGAGTGCTAAATTGATCGCTTTGTAGGCTGACAGAACTTTCCAACATGGCCGCGATTTCTTGTGGTATGAATTTTCTTCTAACGCACTTTTTAAATCTTCTGATTAATCGGTTGGAATGCTTAGTCTCGGTACTGGGTATCGTCAAATCTGATTAGTGGAAGGGGACCATTCTTTGTCCTATATTTATTGCAATTTCGATAAGAAAATGGCTTAAAGTCGTGACGTGGGGAAACGGTTTGCCCCATGATCTGCTTGGTTCGGTATCTCGGTGTTCGTTTCAGTCCACATTCGTCGCTTTCGTCACTCCGTCAACAGTATCTACATTGCAAAACAGGGCACCGTATGCAGATCTGTAGCCTGTTGCACCGCCGGCTGGATTTCGATTCTCTGAAAATGACGCGGAGACAGCTGCAGGACTCGCAGATATTTGCAGACTTGTCCCAAATTTAGTGTCGGTTCGCTGAAACTGATGCGAGACCAGATGCAGGATTTGCAGAAATTCGCAAATTTCTTCGGAATTATAAACGTCGATTTGCTGAAATGACGCGAAATCAGATGCAGGATTTGCAAAAATTCGCAAATTTCTTCGAAATTATAAACGTCGATTCGCTGAAATGACGCGAGATCAGATGCAGAATTTGCAGAAATGCAAATTTCTTCGGAATTATAAACGTCGATTCGCTGAAATGACGCGAGATCAGATGCAGAATTTCCAGAAATTTGCAAATTTGTCTCGAATTTAAACGTCGTTTCGATTAAATGACGCGAGACCAGCTGCAAGATTTGCAGAAATTTGGTGTCGGTTCGCTGAAACTGATGCGAGACCAGCTGTAGGATTTGCAAAAAAAGGTGCAAATTTCTTTGCAAATTAAACCTTGATTCGCTGATGTGGCGCGAGACAAGTTGCCGGATTTGCAAAAATGTGCAAATTTCTTTGGAATTTAAATGTCGATTCGCTGAAGTGACGCGAGACCGGCTGCAGGATTTGCAAAAAGTTGCAAACTGTTTTGGAATTTAAACGTTGATTCGAATCAGCTTCTATTATTTTCTATAATTCTATTATTCTATTATTTGATTCTATTATGATAATTCTATAATTCTATTATTTGATCCAAAAGAGCATCATTCAAAGAAATTATTCTCTTTTAATCAGACTTTCTACTTTTATGCGTCTCCGGGTTCTATTTCGCGCATTAATCGCCTTCAAGCAGCAACGATCTATACCTCTGACAATTCCTCTATCGTTATCTACATTGCAAAACAGGGCAGCACATAGCGATTCGCAACCTGTTGCACCGTCGTTTCTATTTCGATTCGCTAGGCATTCCAAGCCCACGTCTGGAACTAGGACAGACAAGAAGGTCCCAAGAGTAGGCCTTCAGGATAAAGACCCTGAAGATGTGAAATTATTAATAATATTAAAAAGTAGCAATTAAAATTCCGATTCGCCAGGCATTTCAAGCCCACCACTGGAACTAGGATAGATAGGAAGGTCCTAAGAGTAGGCTTTTACTCTGAAGACGTGAAATTTTCAATAATATTAAAAAGTAGCAATTAAATTTTTTTTTCGCCGGCATTTCAAGCCCACCCCTGGAACTAGGATAGACAAGAAGGTCCCAAAAGGCCCTTACCCTGAAGATGTGAAATTTTAGCACGTTAATGAAATAAATAAAATAAATGCATTTTTGATGAAAAATTAAATTTCCTGAGTTTTAGGGCGTACTTCAGGGCCTCCATATTCCCGAGGTAAAATTTAAAACGAATCGGTACATACAATTCGGAGAATACTTTCCCCAACGATTTGACTTCACAGACATATATAGGCTGGCTCTTTCACATCACCTTAATGTCACCCAGAAAATGAATTTTTCGCTCGGTATCCGAGGACGTTGGGACCCAAGTAATGGGTCCTAGTGATTTTCCGAAAACCCAAGTAGGTACCTCATTTTGGAAAGCCAGGAATGCGTCGGTGGGCCTTGCGATCGTGCTTATTCCGTGTTCCGTGCTCATAAGAAGGAGGGGGGTCGGTATTCACGGGGACCACCTGGGCCCCGCGAGAGTCCACTGGACCCACCGGACCCAAGAGGACCCAAGAGGACCCAAGTGGGCCCTTTGTTCCCTGGTAAATCTCCACTGGCCTTACCTGGCCGCAGGCCAGGTAAAGTTACTCGGACCGGCAGGTGGGTTCCGAAAATAAGGGCCCTACTGTGCACCTTCTGCGATCTGGGATCCAAGGGACCCAAATTTCTGCCTCGATGGGTGTTTGGGGAAAGTGACTCCCGCTGGTAGTGACGAGCAAATGCAAGAGTACCATGGTCTACCATGGCTATGGTCTTGGTCTTCATCTTGCAATTTTTGCCAGGTTTTGGTTTTTATTTTGCAATTTTGGCCAGGTCTTGGCCTTCATCTTGCAATTTTGGCCGGGTCTTGGTCTTCATCTTGCAATTTTTGCCAGGTTTTGGTTTTTCTTCTGCACTTTTGGCCAGGTCTTGGTCTTCATCTTGCAATTTTGGCCGGGTCTTGGTCTTCATCTTGCAATTTTTGCCAGGTTTTGATTTTGGCCAGGTCTTGGTCTTCATCTTGCAATTTTTGCCAGGTTTTGATTTTTATTTTGCAATTTTGGCCAGGTCTTGGTCTTCATTTTGCAACAATGAACAGGTCTTGGTCTTCATTTTGCAACGATGAACAGGTCTTGGTCTTCATTTTGCAACGATGAACAGGTCTTGGTCTTCATTTTGCAACAATGAATAGGTCTTGGTCTTCATTTTCCAACAATGAACAGGTCTTGGTCTTCATTTTGCAACAATGAACAGGTCTTGGTCTTCATTTTGCAACAATAGCCAGGTCTTAGTGTTCTTTTACAAAAAAGAACAGATCTTTGTATACGTTGCAAAACCATGGTTTTTGCAAAAAAAACGCGAGACCAAGACCAAGACCACCATAGTTATTATAAAAGCGCAAGACCAAAACCAAGTCTGCAAGACTTATACCGATTTTTCTCATCACTCCACGCCGGTAGAACGAATGTGAGGTTAGGACGATCCACGTGGGATGTTCTCACCTCGACCCCACGCAACTCGATACACCCAAATAACGTTTCCGGTACACTTCAATGTGTCGATTTTTATTTTATCTGGCAAGGATATGTGTAATTAACACGAATCAAGCGACTTTTATGAAAATTAAATACCGCTCGTGCAACATGGGAGAATTCCTAAATTTCACCAAGAGAATTATTGTTCCAGTAACCGCGTTAAGACGTTGAGAAAATTAAAATAAATTAGAATAAAATAAACCAGTTAATATGTCAACTGGTAAAATGAAGTATGGTCGTTTTAAATAATCGGGAGACATCGTCCCAAAATCGATGAGCGATATATGTGCCATTTTGAAGCCCAATTCATGCGATTTCGACAACCCTAACGCTGCTCTTGATGGTGTCCTTATAAAGCGACATTCCCCGTATCTTTCGCGACGCGTCCCTTTATCGTTCAGATAAGGCTGTCTCCTCTTATCACGCTTATCGATATTTGCCGTTCGCGCCATCCTAGCATATTTGTTTTGTCTCGAATCCTCCGACGATCTTTCGGGGCTTACTCTGCATCTCTTGGAGAGGAGCTCCGGTTATTTTCTACTTTTGCCGGAGCACACAGGCAACTTCCATTAACTTGACTGGCCATATCATCTCCGTCATTTTTAAGGATACATTGAAAAATTTCATGAGATTTCATTAGCAAGAATCGATATAGTCGTTGGCAGATTTTTTCAAAATCATATTTTTGGGGGAATTTAAAGTTATGAATACTCCTACGAACACATTTTTTATCGCGTCCTTTTATGAGGTTAACGAATTCGACAATCTACGATATTTTCTTTCTCTTATTTTTCGTTCCCTTTAAGGTGATATGAAAGGGTCATTCTATATATATGAAACGTTAAAATATTTATAAATCTTTTCTCCAAATTGGGTACACCGAATTATTTGAAATTTTAACATGTGATTATGAAGGCCCTAAGGAAGAGCGCGATGCTCGTGAAAGTTCATTTTTCACTAAAAAACTGTGATCTTGGTTCTACTTCAGGATAAATAAAAAAAATTTCTTTTTCGAAAAATGAAATTTCAAATGATTCGACGCACTCAGTTCGGAGAAAAGTTTTATGAATACTTTAACGTTCTGATATATAGAAAGACCATTTGACGTCATCTTTAAAAAAGGGTCTTTGATACGAAAGTTTTTAGCATTTCCTTAAAAGTCGAGATACTCCGCACTAGATAAATAAAGTGTATAGATAAATAATTGTATATAGATAAGTAATTCGTATATGAATTTCAGTAAAAAATATGTTCAGGTAGTCCTTTCGTTGTTAATCAAAATGACGGTGAATCTGTAATCTTTCGAAATGCGACAGCAAGCCTGCAATTGTCACACTTATCACTTGCAACGTTGCAGAAAAATTGTGCAATGTTATTAACATTATGTCATCGAAGGTAGCCGCGAGCGAAGACTTCGTTGCTTTTCCATTAATTACTATCATGGAACCGATTGTTATTTAACATTAACTAATAAAAGAAGTACTGTTTAAGTAATAACATTTGCACCGTGACGGATAAAAGGTTGCGATAGGATTCTCGTCCTAAACACGATTTATGTTTCTCATTTGCATCCCAGTTGTTAACAGAATTATTTGACTACAGATTTACAAGACAAAGTATACATGACATGCAATACAAACAAAGTATAAATAAAATAAGTATAAGATGGAATCGTTATAACATATCTCCCTTTTTTTTCCATCTTTTCGCGTTAAATTCAAGCAGCTGAAAATAAATTCCTTTTCCTTACGATCCCTTTTCATTAATCTTATTTTTTACGACAGTCCATTAAATTTGGAATTATTTTTCTCCTCTTTCTTCCCGTATTATCACGCCATATTTTGCTGTGTATAGCCTTCTCATATCTGCCACCTCGAAAAAGCACGACGTCAGGTTTTTCATTTTTTTATACAATGGTATGACTGGTGACATACATGACATTCAATACAAACCAAGTATACATAAAATAAGTATAAGTTGGAATCGTTATATCTCCCTTTTTTAAATTTTTCCCGTTAAATTCAAGCCGCTGAAAATGAATTCCTTTCCCTTTTCATTAACCTTATTTTTTACGACAGTCCATTCAATTTGGAATTATTTTCTTACTCTTTCTTCCCGTATTATCATGCCATATTTTGCTGTGTATGGCCTTCTCATATCTGCCACCTCGAAAAAGTACGACGTCAGGTTTTTCATATTTTTATACAATGATATGACTGGTGACATACATAACATTCAATACAAACAAAGTATACATAAAATAAGTATAAGATGGAATCGTTATATCTCTCTTTTTTTAATTTTTTCCCGTTAAATTCAAGCCGCTGAAAATGAATTCCTTTCCCTTTTCATTAACCTTATTTATTACAATAGTCCATTAAATTTGGAATTATTTTTCTCCTCTTTCTTCCCGTATTATCACGCCACACTTTGCTGTGTATATCCTTCTCATATCTGCCAATCTGTGGAGGTCGGTCAGCGAATCTCCTCGAAAAAGCGCGACGTCAGGTTTTTCATTTTTTAATACAGTGGTATGACCGGTACGAAGTGCGACAAAAGTCGGCAGCATTTCCCTATCAGACTCCGTCATAAAGTCGGTTAAGGTGAAGTGAAACCGCCCACAGTCCCGGATAAGATACTTTTTTTTTTTTTTCCTTTAAGGAGTATTGAACCGAACCGTCGGAAACTTTGACACGTGGTTATGGAGGCTCTAAGGAAGCACGTGCTGCTCGTGAGATTTAATTTATCGAAAGAATAATATTTTTTTTTTATTCTTGTCCGCAGACATATCCGTCCGTTCTTGTGTCAAGGCGGGATAAAAAACGAGGTTTAACCCGAAGGTTGAACACAGACTTGAAATATCCATCTACTCGAGCATCTATATTTTTATATACGTATCTACTTATCTAATCTACGTATTATCTACGTCTACCTTTACCTCTAGTCCCTCTTCGACCAACCGCGATTGTAATTCGATCTTACAAACTTTCGCTGCCTTACATTTGCACCATTTTTTAATACTGAAATATACAGCATCCACCGACGATAATTGTTGCATATATTAATTTGTTTCTAAACAAACGTCGAATCGGTGCTCTTCCGGGCTGGTTATCATCACGTCGTTATTGTATCACGAAGAAGAGTAACTCGTGCTGATTTGTATTAATCTAAACGTATGTAATACACGTTATCAATAATTATCCGCCCAAGTATCTGGGTGGTCTTTATAAAAATCTACAATAGTTAATATAATGTAGACGTAGGTATGCATCCATTGTTACGCACTTACGCTATGCAAATGAGTACCCGATCAATACCATCACATCAGATTTAGAAGTCTTATTTGCATGACAACGAAGTGCAAGCACATGTCTGCAACTTAACAAATATTTATTACATTTCGATCTAGAAGTTATGTTTATACAAATATCTATGCATTCGTTTCTTTACCGAAATGACTGCCCATCCCTTTTTTCTTAATTGAAATTACAGTCGAACTGATTAACCCACTTCGCCTCAGATATTATAGATTTGCATTAATTAGTCGCATAATTATGCATAGGTATGCACATCATCGCAGCAATATAGGAAAAGATAATTTGCTGCACCGAGAAATAAAGAAATTTTTCTTCCGTTCAAAGAAATTGAAAATTACTCTGAAATTAGCAAAACGATTTAGCGAAAACACTTAAGCGGATCGAAGGAAACGAATTTAAGTGAAAATTCGATTCACAGCCAGAACGTTATTTGCAATTAATTTAATGCTGTCAATCAAGCGATTTTTTTCAGGGAATAAATTTTTTATCCTGCATGTGCCCACTTTGCGATTTACTCTCGGCTCTCTTTTATTTATTCCCGTGATTGTGTAAAATTTAAGTGTCAGCGTTATTATCCGTAACATTTACTACTGGTCAGTTAAGTTATTAGTCCTGGCCAATAAACTTAAGGTCTTCTACACAATCGGCCTCGATCGTTTCCAATCCGGCGACCTTTGCCGTGGGCCTTGGGCCCATAACGGAACGGTCCCATAAAAAGGTTCCGAACACCATAATTTGTTGTTACGTCGAACACTCCTACACCGAGACAAGGTCTTTAAATAATTAAAAGAGAACGATTATTTAGAATAATGCCTGATGATAATGCCTACATGATATCATTTTTGTGGAAAGAATATATTATATCATTCAAGGAAGAAGGTCTTGAATATCGTGAAATTACATTTCTCGAAATAAGATGTTTTATTTATTCCAGTATTTATCCCAGACTTTTCATTTATCTCAGTCCCCAGGGACCTTTGAAACGGATACGCACGCCCACATCCGACTTTAAGGGCTTACGAAAGTGTCATACATGCATATGAAAAAGTAGAAATAATGATGAAAGTTATCTCCAAACTGGATGCACCGAACAATTTACACTTTCAATTCGTGATTATGAACGTCCCGATGACGGTCTTCAAGTTCACAAGATTTTATTTTTCAAAAGAGAATTATTTTATTTATCCCACATTCGATTCACGATTCCCCATTCCGGAGTTTCTTTCCTCAGTCCCCAGGGACATCTCCATCGTTCTCGAAATCCGGTATTTATAGGATCCAAATCCAGCAAATCCGAAATTTAAGTATCAAGACGCTCAGGAATGAATCGTAATTATTGGTGCAACGGAGTCATGTGATTTACTGAATCCTGCCCGATGAATTCCGGATTGAGGAATACGGATGGAGATGTAGTAATTGATTTGATATTTTATATATCCCACATTCGATGCACAATTCCCCATTCCGGAGTCTCTTTCCTCAGTCCCCAGGGATATATCCATCGCCCTCGAAATCCGGTATTTATCGGATCCAAATCCAGCAAATCCGAAATTTAAGTATCAAGACGCTCAGGATTGATTCGTAATTATTGATGCAACGGAGTCAAGCGATTTACTGAATCCTGCCCGATGAATTCCGGATCGAGGAATACGGATGGAGATGTAGTAATTGGGAACGCGCACGCCCACTACTGACTTTAAGGTGTTACGAAAGTGTCATAGATGCGTATGAAAAAATCAAAATAATGATGAAAGTTATCTCTAAACCGGATGCATCGAACAATTTGAAACTTCAACGCGTGATTATGAACATCTCAATGGCGGTCTTCAAGCTCATAAGATTTAATTCTCCGAAAGAGAATTATTTTATATATCCCATATTCGATGCACAATTCCCCATTCCGGAGTCTCTTTCCTCAGTCCCCAGGGACATCTCCATCGCCCTTGAAATCCGGTATTTATCGTATCCAAATCCAGCAAATCTGAAATTTAAGCGTTGAAACGCTCAGGATTGAATCGTAATTATTAATGCAACGGAGTCATGCGATTTACTGAATACTGCCCGATGAATTCCGAATCGAGGAATACGGATGGAGATGTAGTAATTGGGAACGCGCACGCCCACTACCGAGGATCCTCCGAACCTGCAGGGTGGCCCGCGTCGCGTGCCCAGGACGTCTGCCGACGCCATGCAGACCATTTCTTTGGGCCGCACGAGGTCCGCACCCCCTGTCTAACCTCGAACTCCGAGATTCCTCAACATCTTCGGACGATTTAACTCAAATAAAAGCGACTTCCATTATAGGAGCATCTTCGAGGGCGTCGATGACGACCCACAACTTGGGCCCGAGTCCCCGACTCACCTTCGCGTCCTGCGCTCCGATCTCGACTACCGCTGCTCGGGGGTTAAGGGTGTCTCTCTCGACCTCGTGACCCGCCCACTATAGATATCCTTCTCCCGCCCGCTCGCGATTCCGGAATTTCGGGTACTCCTGGACGACGATAGATACTCCTCGCAGGTGACAGTTAAACTTCTAGACCGTCCGCACGGCGCTCTTGGAATTTCTGAACTACGTAGCACGAGACAGGAGAGGGGCAACGGGCCCGATGGAAGTGGTGGGGTTGGGCAGGCTCAGGTGAACCCAGGTGGCAGGTGTGAGCGCCATCCGACGCCATCTTGCGACGACTCACGGAACTACTTTAGTCGGACCTCGCAACGAAACTCATGCAGAGTTTGCTTTGCTACATTACGTGGTTTGTGAAACTAATGCGTGTCATATGGGACAAATATGCACAAACTAAAAGTGTATTACGTGTTTTTTGAAGCTTTGAACAAATTAGAAGCGTTACATGCCCCTTGGACAATGAAAAAGAAGGCAACTGAATTACCGCCAGAGATGAGTTGGGAGATTGCTCACGGGCAGGGTCGCGCGATCGCACCGTGTGCTGCCCTCTGATTTCGTAC